TTCCATGCTAGTCAATTCAGGAATATCATGGGCATGCTAACTTAGCATTTTGGAGCTACTAGATACTGAGGATTTTATTTTCAAACTTTTATTAGCAGTGAAACCTACCTTCCTTCCACTCCAAGAACTCTTAATAGGCAACTCTGTGCAATAAGACTGATTTAGGTCTTATTGAGGAGAGAAGATGTCCCCCAAACCTTACTATTGATACTTGTCTTTTCCCTGTCAAGCCCTCAATTTCTGGAAACTACCCTAACACATCTATATCCTTGACCCCTCTGTAATCTCTATGGCTTCTTAAAGCATCACTTAAAAACCAGCAGGATAGATAATGCTCTCGAGATAATGAATGTGAAAGTGAAGTTTTTTATCCAAACTAATGGCGGGGTTGTGGCAAAGCCATGAGCTATAACCTAGGTTTTATATTAATGTTTAATATGTCACATAGTCCCATTTCTGCTCTCACAGATCCTCACATCCATCAGTGTCAGAGTTTTAAGAGTGCAGAGAGGGGCCAGATGTATTGGCAGGACCTCAAAGGGATGGTCAGGTCAGTGTCTGTGTTAGCAGATTGAGGTCTGTGGTTCGGGATTGGATCCTGAGTATGTTTATTTATGCAGTGTTAGACAGGGACAGCAAACTTACTGACATGAGATTGATCTATAAGTGATTTGTAATAAAGATACCTCTTGGTTTACTCTGAAGTGTAATGTTCAAAAGGACTCCTTTCCAGTCTGCTGTGATATTATTGGCCTTTCTGCGGTCTTAAACTTGCTTCCCACCTCAACTTCTATTATGTATAAAGAAAATTGATGTCAGAGCTGCTGGGGAAGTAACTGAGAAATTAAAAGTCAAGAATGACAAATTTCACTGCAGCAGTTTATCGTTTTCATTTAAAAATTTCCACATTATGTATTGTCCAGCTTTTGTTGGTAGATGGAAGTTATATGCAGCAATATATAACATGCAGTAATATGTGTGTGCAAATATGCCCCTGGGTCTTACATATGTTTCAGTGAGACCCTGGCGAGCATTCTCATGAAAGCCAACGTGAGGATTCTAAGAACAGTCTTTTTTCTTTCTCTTCACCAATTTTCTGAAAGGAACCCAGTTCAGAGGAATTCAGTCAACCATGATGGTGGTGTTTTAACCAAGTGTGTGGGGTGGTCCAGATGTGAGCAGTGTGAACTAAGAGAACTTTCCTTTGATGTGGAACATAAATGTTACCAACCTTTCCCAAACACATCTTCTTATTTCCTGTGGGATAATAGGCTACACTTGTTTAATGGTTGCTAAAGTCATATAGAAACAAATTTGAGTCTGGTTTGCATGCCTGTGTTCCTTTAGCAGAAATGAAGTGAGGTTCTGAGACTCACGCCATTTCTAGAGAATGATGTAGAGGATACTGCTCTTAACTCAGTAATGGCAAGAGGCAGCCTCCACCTTTGTATAGAGGGCGTCTGGAGAGTTCATAGCTCCACTCAGATTCTTTCATGGTTTTTTTCAACCTGGCGTCTATGTTGGCCACATGTCATTTTGTGTGTGTATGAATTTTCAACAAGTTTATAGCAGCTATTAAAAAGGATGATATTTAAGTCCATTACTCTAGAGTCTAGAAGATGAAAGGTTTTTCTCATTTTCATAACACATGTTCTCAGCATGGATTTATCTGTTGACAGAATGAGGGATTTCAAAAGAGACATGTGTATTCAAAGCTCATTTTAACATCTGTTTCAGTCCTGTCTACTAGGCTACTATAATGTTCTTTGGGATGTTTACCTACCAGGAAATTAATTTAGTATTGCTTGTTTTGGATGTGGTGTCACCTCTATTAATGGAGTGTTTGTTTCGTTGCAGTCTACATGTGCTTTCCCTAGCCATAGAAAATCCATTTTTTAAATATGCTGGATGCATTTCATGATTACTTGTGAATTACCTTGTATTTGTGCAGGGGAAGAAGGCTATTTGTATTGCATGCTTGTGATACACAGGTATAGTAACTTAAGGTTTTTGATTTGTGTTGCTCAGTTGGAAGTTGAATGAATTGTAGCTACTGGTTTAGCTATATAGTTTAAAGTTTGTAGTCATCAAGGGTGTGAGAATCAGCTGGATGTGGTAGTGCAGGCCTGTAATCCTAGCACTCTGGAGGCTGAGGCAAGAGGATTGACATGAGTATAAGGCCAGGCTGAATTACAGAGTGAGACACTGTCTCATCACTCCTCGTTCTTGCAAAAGGCCAAGGATTGAATCAATTTAATATTATATAAACCACTGGTTGCAAAAATGCTAGTTCAAAAATGAATGAAGTCAGGGGCTGGGGATTTAGCTCAGCGGCATAAGCACCTGCCTTGGAAGCAGGCAGCCGTGAGTTCGATCCCCGGTACCGGTAAAAAGGAAAAAGACAAAAAAAAACCAAAAAAACAAAACAAAAAAAAACCCCAAAAAACAAAACAAACAAACAAACAAAAAAAGAATGAAGTCTTTTTAAAAAATTGTAGCTTCCTAGTCCTTTCCATGGAGATTCTCATCCAGTATGTCTTGATTTAGACTTAGGAATCTGCTGAGTTTCAAAAGTCTATGAACAATTCTAGTACACAGATGTGAAGTATTATATGCGCTTTGCAATGACTGTGATTTTTAATAATTACATTCTTCATCTCTGTTATCTTTGATAATTCCTAAATGGGCTTGAGTATCATCTCAAAAGTAATATGTTTATCTGAGCATTCTGGACAGTGTCAGGTGGGCTTTTGGGGACTTGGTTCTGTTCATTCTGCTTACCATTTATCATGTTGGGAATATTTGACCTAATTGTCAGACCCTTTCATAATCTTAGGGCATCACATGAGCTATGGTACTTTGTAGCTTCCTAATATTCTTGGATCTCAATGGCTTTGTCCTCCTAGAAATTGTGTTTGTTGTCACTGTTCATTGCTGGTTTTGACTTCTAGTTTAGTGCGTACTGCTGCACTCAGCGGGATGTTAGTTGTAGTCTACTTCTCAGGCACCTGGAGCCATAGACCCCAGGACACTCCTTCTTCTTCTTTCTTTTCTTTTTTCTTTCTGCCATTCTTGATCTCCCCATATAACACTGAAATAAACCATTCTCCTGTGAATTGCATTCTTAGGTCATTGTGTCTATAAAAGAAAATTTAGGTTGTAGTAATGACCCTTACTATGCCAAGCCCTGAGAATGTTCACCCTGGGCTCGCTTTGCAGGTGAAGGACACTTGTCTCTTTGGGTATAGAAGTGACTGATGTCACAGTCTAGAGAGTGTGGCCTATCTACCTCACTGCATTCAGCAGACCTTTTGTGTCCAAGAATGTGCTGTATATATTTTAGAGTGGCAGAACATACTGTATCCCCTTAGTCTCTGGTCCTCATCCCTTCTGCAGCATCAAAATAAACCTTAATGCTTTTAAAATTACACAGTTTGATGTTGCCGAGTGTTGAATAAGACCTGGGCAGTGTGTTTTTCAAAGGCTTTACTTCAGATTCCCCTTAAGTGCCTCCTGCAATTCCTCTAGACTGAGCCATGCACTGTTTCTCTGCCTGCTGAAACTATTTTTTTATTAAGGCAGGGATTACACCTGGAAAATAATCATTTGGCCTGACTTTGTTGGAAATACTCAGTCATGTAAGAGTAGAAGACCTCAACGATCGAAGGCCATTGGCCTTAACATTTTCAGCCTACTGTTCAGGCCCAGGAGCTGCCACTAAAGATTTACTTCTGATGCTTGTTTACAGTGGTCTCATGATTCTTCGTTCACTCTAAAACATGAGAGAAAAATAAATAAAGAAAACAAGAGAGAGAAGAGCAATAAGTTATTCACACTTTTGTGGGGTGTGTTTTTGCATAAATACTTGCTACCTTCTAGTCAGTGCAGTTCACCAAATACTGACAGTTTATATTGTGCTAAGCATTGATCAAGAATGTTGCCCATATAGTGGTGAAAAAACCACAAAATTCTTGCCTTCACGGGACTTTCTCTTCACTGATACCTATGTATCTATGTGTATTCACGTGGAACTTAACACAACTGAATTAAGTAGTTGCATTATAACATTATGAAATACTGTTTAAGAATTCTTGAAGATTGTTCTAGTTATCCCTTAGATTAAAAATTGAGCCAAGAAATTTAGTTTTGCATGTGAAACCTAATTTGTAAAACCAGAGGCTGTGTTCTAGTTGGTTCATGTAAATATTTTCTGAAGGCAGAATAAATAAGTGAGTATAGCATTTTGCTTCAAAAAGGGGAAAGGATTAAAGATCTTCCCTAGTCTTTTGGGAATAAGTCTCCAGAAGGTTATTATTTGGCACAAGTCTTTTTTTCATTCTATGTTTTTAATCCTAGTGTTATGAAAATAACTTAGGTTTCTGGATTTCCTAGTGTTATATCTGTATATTTCACCTATTAAGCATGAACTGAATGTGTATGTTTTAGGCCTCTGGGAGGATACTTCACAAATTATTGTAAATTTTTATACTCACTTTATATGGTTAATAGCTTACGAAAGTATCTGCTTCTGTATTGTAATTCATGCTCTAAAATTACTTGATTGCTTAGACATAACGAACATATTAAATCTGACTTTCAAGGAATTCAAATACCAAATTACTCAAATGTTTTAATATGTTATCTTAGTACTTTTGTAAAAAAGAAATATTTACTCAGGGTTTTAAAATGTGAACTCTGTTTTTGGATTCTGAATGCTAGCTAAAAATTGATAGATTTGCAAAGACAACCAGTAAGAGAAAACACATTTGACATAGATTTTAAAATATCAAGAGAATATGAAAAAGAAACCAAGGATCAGCTTTTGGTTCTAATTTATGTGCGTGTTTGTGAATTAATGAGCTTTGAAGAGGAGTAAATACTGTATGAAAGAAGGGTAAAAAGGACATTCTGCAAATAATTATTAATGCTGAAATTTCTGTGTCTAATTTTGAAATGCTTATGTTTGGAGTGTTACATCACAATAAAAATGTATGTTTCAGGTTTGTGGAGAAAAACAGCGCTTTGAGAAGTTGATGGAACATTTCAGGAATGAAGACAATAACATCGACTTTATGGTGAGTTTTTTTAGAGCTACATTCAGTAATGTAAACTCAGTTTCAGCACTTTGCCCTTAAATCTGTGTGCAGGTGCATATACACAAACACAGCAAAGGATGGGAAATTAGTTTAATATTCTATAGAACCTTCCTGAAATATCTCTTTCACCTGTATTTTCCCTTTATGGCATTTAGTTACAGTTTTACTCATTTCATCCAAATTCAGTGAAGGTCAAAAGTATCTATCTATCTATCTATCTATCTATCTATCTATCTATCTATCTATATTTTGAATTAGTAAATAACGAGAGAGATCATGCAGTTGTGGAAAAAATGTTTTGAGGCCTTACACAGATGCCTACACTTGCTGACTTTAGCTGCCAGTAGTGCAATGTAAGAATCCTTAAAGTAGAAGGAAACTTTTTTTTTCAAACTCTCATATGTGCCAGCCAGTACCCTTCGCTGAACTATATTCCCAAGAGACGAAGTGCTTTGCTTAGAATTGACCGTCACTGTCCCCCAAGTTAATGTGCAGCTGTAACTTTTCTCTTTTGATTTGTTTCGTGCTTCAATAATTCTGAGAGGGCATGATGGTGCTGCAGCTCTTCTTAGCAGGTTAGATCACACACATATGGTTTCACAGATGTCCTGTCTCTATCTGGTGAGAACAGTGGCAGAGTGAGCTTCAGTACTTTTGAATTCATACACCCAAATCTTAGACCCAAAGAAGGAATTTCTTGAGACATTACTTCTGAATGTACCCAGATCTTCAGCCTTTGACCTAATCCAGTTGACACAGAGAATTTTTGGACCCAGGTGATCCTTGCCTGGGTCTAATCTGGCAGATCACTTCTAGCTGGAGCAGGTATCCCACATAGTTCTGACATGGCAAAGCCAGTGCTTAGGGTGCCAGGTAAAAGTTTAATTTGAATAGTTTCAGTGCCTATAAAACATGAACATCTTTTCAAAGATTGAGGCCTTTTTCCGAAATCAATGAGAAAGATACTAAGATAAGGGGCTGGGGATTTAGCTCAGCAGCATAAAGAGCCTGCCTTGCAAGCGCGCAGTTGTGAGTTCGATCCCTGGTATCGATTAAAAAAAGAAAAAAAAAGATACTAAGATAGTTGCTTTCAAAAAGATAACCATAAATGTGAAAGGTTACTTTTACATTGACTTTTTAATTGTTATCAGAATTTTTGGAGGAGTCCAGGCTAATTCTGGCACTGGTGATAGATTTGTACAGAGGTCCACCCCTTGACTTCTGTTACCAGTGTTTTTCCTGTGCTTGGTGTATGTTGGGGGATGTTGTTTGTCCTGTTAGAGTTGAGTTTGCAAACTAGAAGTCCCCAGGTTGAAGATTACCTAAATTCCTATGAGTTTATTTGAACAATGATGGTTTTAAAAAATTTATTTTGTGTATGGTCCATAAAAATGTGTCCTTTTTATTAGAAATACTTGGTAACGTTAGGCTCTTCTGTGCAAATTATCGTGGTAGAGGCATGCCCTGTTAGTAGATGTAGCCCATGGTCTTTTACCCTATAGGTATCTCCAGTTTGTCACAGTCCGCATCATTCCCTATTGTACTACATGTGGACCTTCATTTGTGATACTTGTGAACTTCTCTGTCACTTGCATTTCTGCTAAAATTATGAAAAAATTATAATTTTTTTTTAAAAAAAGTATTAAAGCACCTGTACCATTTATTCACACAAAAGTGCAGCCCCTTTCCTGTCAGTATAAGAGCTGAGGAACCTATTTACGGGTACTCTGTACTGGATTCATGGGTCACCTACAAGCACTTGCTTCTTCAGCATAGCATAAATCTCAACAGGTCAGTTCGACCTGTTTTTATAAGAGAAATGGAAAGATGCCAGAAGTGAGCCAGATTTTACCTCCAGAAAATGAGGCTTTTTATGGATTGCTTGGGAATGCACTTAGTTGCCCAGCTTCCCAAGCAACATATTCTTTATAGTGTGTAATATAAATTCTTCTAATGTAGTGTGAGCCTTGTTCTGTATTTTTTGTGGACAAAAGCAAACAAAACCTGATAAAATGTTTATGTTCATTTAACTATATAACCTTAAGTAACTTACTAGTAAATGTCAATAGAATCCTTTTGTAACCTTGAAAGTTTACACCTCTCAATCATTCAGTAAAAGCAATTTTTAAAAATTTAAGGCAAAAGAGGGGAAGAATAATGTGGTTCCCGGAATAAACATGCATGTAGGCCCTTCATCAGTTTACCTTTTTGCTAGAGCTTGTGCTGAGTCATAGCCATAGTGGCAAAGCATGAACAAGATGTGCTCAGTGTCACAGATGAAAGAAAAATACACCACTTGTGCTTTATTTTTGCTGCTGTTGTTTTTTGAGGCAGGATCTCACTGTGTAATTCAAACTGGCCTCAAACTCAGTCACAGTCCTCCTGCTTCACCGTCTCAAGTGCTGAGATCATGTGCCACCACATCCAGCTGAGCTCTGTCTTTCATGTGCCAAGCGGGGACTCTGGGACAGGTCTAGGCTTACTGATGCCATGGTGTGGACAAAATAATAAATCCAAAGCTTTTATTGAATGGCAACTGGTTGATTGTATGGAAAAATGGGTCAAACCCTTATCAATGGGTCCCGTTGATAGGGTTGAGCTCACAGTGAAGTTTTGGAAGTGACTATCTTATGATGAGGTTATTCTTTGTAATAACTTTCATATTTTATATGACATGTAATGCTTGCAATAATTTACCTACTTCTTGTCTGTATATCCTTATGGCATATTAGGAATAGCTTTACTGAAGTTTGATTAACATACCATCCACTTTGCATACTAGAAATGCACAAGTCACTGTATATTTAATATATTCACAGAGCGATGTGATTATCGCCGTAGCTTAATTTAGAACATTCTCTCACTCTCCTTGTTTCCGTTAGCAGTCACTCCACATTTACCAAAGCCTAGCCTGAGGCAACCACTAACCTACTTTCTATCTCTATAGTTCCAGCCTATTCTGGATATTTTATATGAATGGACTCAGAATATGTGATGTTTATTTGGACTGACTTTTTTCACTTACCAGCATGTTTTCAAGTTCATCTGTGCTATAATTTGTTTCAATACTACATTCTTTTTATTGTGCCATATCCCATTTTATAAAGATACCATGTTTACTCCTCAAAAGGTGGACCTTGGGTTCTTCTCACATTTTGGTTGTTATGATGAACGCTACTGTAATCATTTATGTACAAATTTTTATGTGGATGTGTACTTTTATTTTTGTTGGCTAGGAGCAGAACTGCTCAGTTGTGTGGTAATGCTAACATTCTGAGGAAGTGTCATATTTTGCTAAGTGGCTGCATCCTTTTGCATTGCCACTAGTGAAGGGACTTTTCTCTGTCTTTGCCAATATTTATTATTGTATTTCTGTTTTTTATCATAGCCATATATATTATATATATTTTTTTTGTACCAGGGATTGAACTCACAACCTCATATTTGCCAAGCAGGCACTTAACATTGCTGAGCTAAATCCCTGCCTATCATATCCATATTAATGAGTGTGATCTGATATCTTATTGAGACACATCTATAACATTTTTAATTTAAAAATTATAACATTTTTAAATTAAAAATCAGTTTTAAAGGCCCAGTGAAATGAAGGAGAAAAAGTTGGTAAGTAAGCCTAGATTTGTGACATTAAAAGCGTGTGTCCGTGATTAAACTGATAAAAAAGATTGGAGCCCTTCTAACTCCTTGGGAATTTTATTTCAGGTGGCCTCTATGCAGTTTATTAATATCGTGGTCCACTCAGTGGAAGACATGAACTTCAGAGTTCACCTCCAGTATGAATTTACCAAGTTAGGCCTGGATGAATACTTGGACGTGAGTACAGCTGTGCTCTTTGGCTTCAATATAAGTATGATTTAAGGTGCACTTCCACTATAGCTAAAGACAGCCTGACACTCAATGCGGTCAACTACTGTCATGCTGGTTAGTGGGAACAATTTGAGTGCTACAGTCTGCCAAAGAAGCTGAATTCTTGCAGACCGCCTGGGATTTCTGCCATCCAGGAGTCAGATAACCTCTTGCAGCCTTGCTCAGCCTTCCTCTGCTTCTGAGGTCTGTCTGGTCAAGTTTCATTGCATCCTTCATCCAGGCTGCAACACGATTTGCATTCTTGGTGACTCTGGGGACCCCATCTGGACAGGGAAAGTCAAGCCAAGACTGCTGTAGAGTGATGAGTAAATGCTTAGTGTGTAAAAAAGTCATGAGGAAGTAGGCACCAGAGACTTCTCCTGAAGCTGTTAAATTCTGCTTTAAGTGTTTGTGGCTTTAGAAGTTCCACTTTCAGCTCTTTGGAGAATGGAGTTTAGTGTTTCTTTTTCAGTCTCCTTTGCAGAAGTTCTTAGCCAGTTCCCTGAAATTCTTCAGTTAAGAAACGAAACTTAATGTGAGGCTCATAAATGGACTTGAATAGTTACATAAGCAAAGGCTATGCCCCCTCCATTTTTTTTAAATAAAGCAAAGGAGTTTCTTTTGGTTCATGATTCTGGATTCGGGTATAGAGGCACACATGATGATGATAGGATGTTTCCATGCTCTTTGACTGTTAGGCAGTTTTCGTTTCCCTTTCCTATAGGATTGGTCCAGTTACACTTGAAAGACCACTAATGATAGGGCAGGAATTGCTCATCTCCATTTCAAGGCTCTTTTTGGCTGTGAAGAGGTAGAAACACTTAGCATGGGCATTTCTAGAGTTCAGCTGCCCATCTTCACAGGGGGTAAAGCTGGAGGATCACATACACTGGTCCCTCACTTAATGGGGCCAGAATCAGAGCTGGTTACTTTCAACCTGACAGCCTTGCTTTCCCACCAGAATGCCCTGTAGTAGACGGGTCTAATGTATACAAAACCTACTCAGAGGGACCTCTCTTGGGTTTCTTTAGGAAGCTGTTGGAAGGATTTTCCTTTTTATTTAGAGACCCACTGATGTTATCAAAGCTCCCCTCCCTTGTGCTTTGAGTCTGAGATCTGATCTCTTTCCTCATTTTTATCTTCTGAGACTATGAGTACAGTGTTTTAACAGTACTTGAGTGTATAGATTCTTCATGGTATTCTGAATTGAGGTTTATGATGTCTTGCTTTAGGCTCCAGGTTATAATGACAGGTAGTAGCATATTGATTAACACCTATTCCTTATTTTAAATCTTGTGAAGAGTTCTGTGAAGCTTCTTTTCCACTTTCTTTTCTAATCTTTGCCCTTATTCAGAAATCTTTTCCTAAACTGAGATGGAACATACACTGTTTTGAACAAGTCAATTGTAGAATCTTAGGTTGGCTTAGATTGGAGAATGTACTGACCTGAGAATTTATACAAAGCACAGTTCCTCTTAAAAATTTAAGGGTTTATAACATTTATTCTTTAACTTTTTTGGTATGTTGGCTGTGCGTCTTGATAGAAGTGGTTTTGAAGAGAAATATTACAAGTGTGTAAAACTACTTCATCAACTCAAAAAAGCAGCCTTGTAAATAGCCATTGATTTTCAGTAAATATTTATTAGCATCTTCTATTTATTAGCAGCTCATCAGCTCCCCAGGAAAATAAATCATCATTTGTGTTGCATGTAAGGAAAAGTCACTGATATACTCGGTTGTTCAGCTCACTTCTGAGCTGACTGATTCCCTTCAGTATGTCTCATCTGGGAAGCAGGGAACTGAACAAAACTTACTGATCTGTGCTTTGGGCAGCCCTGAGTGTTCACATAGGACATTGCCCCAAGGAAGGAATCTGGTAGGTTGTACTAAAATAAGCCTAGAGACTAAATGTAAACTCTGCCTCTTCTGTGTCACCTGCTATTGAACTCTCTTCACCTGTCTACTCCCTGACCCATGCTGCTGGAAGCACCATCACTACTCAGGCGATCTTCTGTACTACCAGCCATGGTCAAGTTTTATGTATCTTGTGACTATTCCTTTTCAAAACTGCTTTGGAATTTTCTGTTACCCTGGTTTCATCTAAATGAAAAGTGTTTTAGATTGCAGTATAACTGCACAAATTTGGAAGGACCTCACTCAGCCTGGCAAATGGAAACATGGGTATCACATGTTACCTGTGCTTGTATGCTTTGAGGAGCAAAATGTAGTGATTACTCAGTATTGCATCCTGGGTTCATGTGTCTGTGATGATAGGCATTTATTACTAAGCAGACATGTGTGTTTTCTTATTTAATGATTGAACTTTAGTTTGTGTTTTGTAAATCGGTCTAATAAGTTTAAACATAAAGGAAGTTTTGTTACATATATATATATATATATATATATATATATATATATATTGCATTATTTACCTTATATATGGCCCGAGACAGTTTTTTACTCATTGTGGGCTAGGGAAGCCAAAAAATTGGACATCATGTTAAACCTTCTTGGAAAAGCTGGGTTTTTTGGAATGAGCAAAATTTACAAACTGTTGGGTAACTATTCTATTTCGACAGATGAATTAACACTGCCTTACCTATAATTCTGGTTTTTAGAAGCTGAAGCACACAGAAAGTGACAAGCTGCAAGTGCAGATTCAGGCTTACCTGGACAACGTGTTTGATGTAGGAGCGCTGCTGGAAGATGCAGAAACCAAGAATGCAGCCTTAGAGCGGGTGGAAGAACTGGAAGAAAACATCTCTCATGTAACTATATCTCAGAAAGAGAAAAACTGCTTACCTTTCAACTGGTTACAAAGCATAATTGGCATTTGCTTTTATGGTAGTAGAAGAGTCTGGGCATGAACTGCAACCTCTCAGAAGTGGTTCCGGTGATCTTAGTTATAGGCACAGGAAAGTGGGACAAATGGCATTACTTAGAGCAAAGTGAAGTATGAGAATCTGACTTGAGGAAGTATTTTCTGAGTATAAGCCATTACCTCTCAAAATAGACGCAGTCCTGTGGAGATCATTAGCTACTATCTCTGTGGTATGTTTCAGAACATTCCTCTTTTATAATCACAAAATTCTCTAAGACTCAACAGTAGACATATTTGAGGAAAGCAGGGAGCTTTTCCAAATATCCTGTCTAATGTCAACTCTATGTCAGGACAGGGACTCAGTTTTGTTTGAGAAACATTTCTTGCCATACATCGATTCAAATATGAGTCTGAAGGCTTTCAGAAGGTTGTCCATTCATCGAAGAAGTATTTCAGTGTTGAAAGAATAAGCAGAAAACCCGATTTATGAGGACCAACTCATTACATGGATTGTCACGCTCCTTGATTGTGAAATGAATTGTCTCTGTGTTAGTTACTTCCTCCTTGCTGGGAAAAATACCCAATACTCAAAAATTAAAGGAGAAAGGTTTATTTTAGCTTACAATTTGCAGAGGTTTCAGTCATAGTTGGCTAGATATAAGGCAGGCCAGTATGGTAGAGGAGAAACAGACCCTGACAGGCAAGCAGGAAGCATCAAGACTTCCTTTTTTTCCCTTCTTTTTATTCCATCCAGAATTCCTCTTAGTTGGTGTACACACACTTATGGTGAGCTTTCCCTCTTGTCCATCATCCTCACCCATAACTATGCTAAACTAGCGAGTGGACTAATCCGGTATTGCATACCCAAGATGCAGTCATTCCCAAAAACCCTGCCTATGAGTGCAGGGGGGACCTCTACATATAAGCCATATCGCCTCTATTCAGAGGAATATTATTTTTCCCTTTGAACAGCCCATGTGCTTTTTGGAGTACTTCATGTGCTTCATTTCCTTTACCCCTTAGCATCAGTCTGAAAATGAACATCTCTGAATAAACTGGTGAACTACAACCTTTCCCTTTGTAAGTACTTTAGTGACCTTGTTGGTGTATGGTTAGTAATAGAATCAGCAAGACCCAATTATAATCTAAAGTCAGTCAGCATGAATCTCTACTCTTCATCCCTGGTATTTGTACTTATGATCCATTTTCAGCAAAGTATCAAAAATCAGATGTTGCTTATCATAGTGCCTTATGCAGAAAGCAGTGATTTTATACATGGCTGACCCTATCTCTTGAAATCATTTATCATAGTGTGACCATACTTAATATTCGTATTTGCAGTAAGCCGCTTTAAGTGCCTCTCCAAATAACTTCTATTAATTGTGTAGTTCGGCTGGAGAGAGAGGCCTCCCTTCCCCCTTCACTTCCCTGCTCTCTCCATGGCTAGCCTGAAGGAATGGAGGGAGACATGCTGTGTATGCTCAGACACAAAGGAGCTGACATGTAGGTTTTATTAAGGAGCATGTAAGAATTACTAATTCTTGGTAGAAACAAATAATTCAGAACCACATTAACATTTCCAGAAAACAACTTGTAGAACATATGCAGAGTTTCCTGTAGGCCCCTAATGGTCTTGCATCTACGCTTTCTGTGGACCAAGGACTTGATCAGAATGTTTCTGTGTTATGACACAGCTTCCTTTTCAAAATTTTACAGTTATCTGAAAAGCTTCAAGATACAGAGAATGAAGCCATGTCCAAGATTGTGGAACTGGAGAAGCAACTCATGCAGAGGAACAAGGAACTGGATGTCGTCCGAGTAAGTGCGAGCATGGCAGCCACCCTGACAGGCATGGCAGGGCGTGTGCTCCATCATTAGCCTCTGTGAATGTGGAATACATTTATTTCAGAGGAATGAACTGGTGTAGCATATTTATTGGAGTCATTTCAAAGCTGATGCTCAAGTGAAAAGTATAATATATATATATAATCAAATACTAGAACTCAATATTTCCTTATCACAGATTTTTGGGAGCAACAATGTTTTCCCATCTGGAGGAGTCTTACTTGATTTTGTGGGTCACCCATTTTGTTGGAAATAAAAACATAGTCTGGATTTAATTCATGCCAATTACTTATTTTTATTGGGATTTGGTCTTCATTGTATTTCTTTACTTTGCTTCTACTCAAAACCAGATTTGGTAGTTGCTGTGGAAACTAAAATTACAACATAGGCTAGCCCTAATGACATTCACCAAAAAAGAAAAAAGAGAGAGAGAGAGAAAATGCAAAGCCAAACCAATCCATTTTATTATCAGATAATCCCTGTTATTTTATTTGGCCTTAGTGTTGTTTTACCTTCCATGTCAGGTATTTATGGAGTGCCAGCCATGTGCTTGGAATTGTGCAGAACATAAAAACACCAACATGCCTGGAGGGTTTTCAGGCAAATGGTGTGCCTTTACGCCCCCATTAATGCAATGGCAGATTTTATGTGATGGTTATCATGTCTGCATGTGTTGCTTGATATTCTGACTCCTCCAGTTAACTCTAGGAAATTTATTTTCTGGCACACCATGGAGACACAGTTGTAGCATATGGACTCAATTCAAGTTCAGAGTCTCAGATTATTAATAATAGACAGGGTGTGAAGAATGTTTCCCTGCCTGCTGGGGGTTTGTGGTGAGAGATCACATGCACAAGGCCCAGCGAGTAAGTTCAGGCCTATGAAAGTGCTTTCACTGGAACTTCATGGGTACCTAATAAAGGAACCAGAGCAGCGTTTGAATGAAAATTATAATTTCTTTGTTCTCTGTTAAAAAGCTAGACAGAAATAAGTAATCAGTGGAGCAAAGCTTTGTGCTCTTTTGTTCACTGCATTACCAAGGGGAAAATGTTCGAACAATTGCTGTCCTGAACTTGGTCAAGGATATTATGAGGGCCAGAGAAATCCATTCAAGTACAGTCAGTCCCTGGTTACTCATGAATAGGTTATTCCGTGCTCTGCAGATTTTTTAATCCTTGTCTGTTTTCTATCCAAGTCTGATTTAGGGTTCCTTTGTCTATTGTTAACTGATATGTGTATCTAGGAGTTACAAATGAATTTTAAAATAAGTGCAAGGAAAACATGCTGCACCACCAGAACATCCTCAGGATATTTCAAAGTCAGCTTTTGGGGAGAAAAGTCATTTTTGCTCTGTTCCTTTCCATCTGCAAGGAACATTGAGTTAGTAGTATTTAGTAAATGATGAGGGCTTGTATTAACAGTAACAATTACTAGGCTATATTGCATGCATCACTACTATCATTAATAATTACTAAACTATGTAGGTTCTGACTGAGTTTTATAGAATTCCTATTTTTACAAGTATCCTTTTTCTCTTTAAAATTATCTCTTTAACCTTAGTTTATCAGTCTGATGATCAGAAGTATGAATGTTAGATGAAGACAAACTCTTGACTGTGGACTCTTTTCCAGGAAATCTACAAAGATGCAAATACCCAAGTTCACACATTAAGAAAAATGGTCAAAGAAAAAGAAGAAGCCATTCAAAGACAGTCTACCCTCGAAAAAAAGATTCATGAACTGGAGAAACAAGGGACCATTAAAATCCAGAAGAAAGGGGATGGGGACATCGCCATACTGCCAGTCATGGCTTCTGGTGCGTTGGCCACAGGATCAGAAGCAGCAGTGGGTAACTGTGCATCAGTTACGGGGACCATGACTTCAGGACCCTTGCCCCCACCTCCTCCGCCACTACCTCTGTCTTCAGACACAGCTGAGGCAGGTAAGAAGTCTTGGGAAGAGAACTAAGGCAGGATCGGGACATCTGTATTTCTTCTTTTACTAACTGTATATGTCCTTTGTCTACTTATGGTAGCATGTTCTTTTACTTCCTGATTTGAAGAACTATTTACATTTTGAGATTGAGGTTATAAATACTCATTCAGTGTGTTACATTCTTTATCCTATTTATGAGTTGGAATTTTATGGTCTTGGAAGCAATCCTTTCAAGTGTTTTGTATGTGACATGCTGCAACACCATCCCTCTATTTTCACTGTTAATTTGTTTCCTTCTTTAGCTCAAAATGGTCCCGTATCACCACCCATGCCCCCGCCTCCCCCTCCCCCTCCGCCCCCTCCGCCCCCTCCGCCCCCACCCCCTCCTCCTCCTCTCCCAGGACCTGCTGCTGAGACAGTGCCAGCTCCTCCTCTGCCACCACCCCCTCCCTCTGCACCCCCGCTGCCCGGAATGTCTTCACCCACAGTGGTTTTCAACTCAGGATTAGCAGGTAAGAACATAGAAAACCGAGATACTCATGTGAAAAAGTCTTTTTTTTTGGTCTCCAGAGAGTGAAAGCCAGTCTTCCCCATGCCAGGTCTGTCACAGTGACGTATCTCCTCATACTATAGGAGCATCACATGCGTGTGGTCAGTGCAGGGAAATAATCACACATCAGAGCACCGTCCTCTGCCATACTTTGTCACACTGTCACTAATGTGAGGTTCTGAACACTCACCTCATCTTCTGCCTTGCCTGGCCCCACCTAGAGAAGGGAAGTGACAAGGTGTCTTGTTTTGTTAGTACCTGTTGGCAGCTTTGCAGTGTGTGGAGTTGATAGCCAGCTTGGAAGTGGGTACATATATGTTACTTTGTTTAAAAAAAAATGCATTTTTGTCAGCAGATGCTTCCTAGACACCTGAGGTGATCAGAGTCTAGGTTAGGCACAGACGTTGAGTGTGTCTGGCTTTCTTTTCTTCTTCTTCTTCTTTTTTTTTTTTTTTAATATATTTGAAATGTCTAGAAACAAGTTTCCTTCATGTGCATTTATTGATACAGGCTTCCAGGCACGACTTCTGAGCACTGGAGAACAGTGGAAGCTGCAGTGCAAAGTGCTGCCAAGAGCAATACATCCCTGCTGTAAAAGCCTTCCAGATAATTCATACAGGCCTCCCATTAACGGGAGACGGAGTATAGCTTCATACCTCACTAGAAATGGAAAGGAGGTGGGCAAGTGAGAGGAAAGTGCTGTGATTCCTTAGAATATTAAGTTCTTGTTTTTTGACTTTCAGAAATGAATTTTTACACTGTGGTATAATGGTCCAAGCTGTTTCTCAGTCACAGAGTATTTCTTAAGTATTGGGAGTTGCTCTGTGGTTTCTGTCTCTCTGTTACTGAGTAGTTTGCTTTCTCATCCACTTCAGTCTGTTTGTGGATTCTTTTGTTTACTCTGGACTGCCACTCTGATAGCCTCCACTTCCGGGACTGTGGCTTTCACAGCCTGTTCCCTGGAGTCTGGGAGACAGTCCTAGCTGTAAGGATTTTCTGGTGTTTATCCCTTCAAGGTCCCAGGCTCATTCATCCTAGTGTCCAGCTCCAGCAGGACGTCTGAATGCTCCCTGTAATGGATCCATTCTGCCTAGATGTCTACAAAACTGGCAAAGATCCAAATAAAATGCCTCTTTAAAGTGATGCTCATCATAAGTTAGTGGCTTTTTTTTGCCTTTTAAGGTCTTCCTACCTACCACACTTTCTTTGAGAACTTTTACTATTTCTGAAGAGAAAAGTTGCTGGGGAGTCATGGTAAACTGTGGGATTATGGAATGTAAATAAACTTCCTAGCAAGCCCTGGGGTCTTCCCTCCCTGGGCTCTTCTCAGTCACCGTGTGTGAGGGCCATAATTGCTTTGTGCACCTGGGCTCACAAGTTAGGCTTTCTTTGCAGCCCCTGAGGAGCGCTTCCTGTGAGATGTGCCGGCCTTGCCATCTCATTGGAAGCTGCTTCCTTTCTTCCCGGCAAAAGTGCATGTGTGACTCAGCGTCTGTTTCCATTCACTTGAGGTCTGACTTGGGACGCAGAGCCATCCTGGCAGGGAAAGGGCGGGAGGCTGAGGCTTGCAGGCTGGGGCTTCCTTCTCAAGGGCATATCCTGTCTGGTCTGTCTGTCTGTCTGTCTGTCTTCTCCTTCTTCTCCTCCTCCTCTTCTTCTTCCCCTCCTCTCCCCCCTCTTCCCTCCTCCTCTTTCTCCCCCTCCCCCAGGTTCTTGCTCCTTTTAATTTCTAAAGCTGTTGATTCTCTCAACTGCCTTGAGTTTAAGGTGTCACAGTCTGTGCTTGGCTGATAACTGATGCCTTCAGGGTCGCCATGTTTGGAAGTCTTCCATGGTATCATATGTAATTTGGAAGACAGTGGATGAGATTGGAAAAACTCCTGTTTAGTACCATGAGTGTCCATTAAATGATTATAAGAGACACTTTTCCTTAGCAGATGTGAGAATTCCACCATCCTTATGAGTCTTGGATAGCTTGAGATCAGGTATTTCTGCAAGTCCTTGAATTGCATTACTACTTGTCCTCAGTTTAGCTTTCAGTATTTAGTGATTGAAGCAGATCTGATGAGCTGTTGTTGGTCTTTCTCCCTCCTTTTCCCTTCCCCTCCCCTTCCTTTCTTTTCTCACCCCATTCCTATGCCGAAATAGGCCACACAGAGTCAGTAGAATTTCTCCGAACAATCAAAAGCCTGGGCCGATATGCCTATAGCCCCTGAGATTTCAGAGTCCCATGATGGCTCTGGGGTTCTGGATTGACAAGTGACAGAATCTCTTACCTCTGGTGGGCAAAGAGCAAGTATATTCCTAGATAGGAGACTAGGAGGAAATGCTTATAGTTTATTTCTAGAACAAAGGGTGTCTTTTTTTCTTTTTTTTTTTTTTTTTGTATTTTATAAACAAAATATTAGTGGTGTGAAATTGCGTTTGAAGCATAGGCTTACTTTCTCAAATCTATGCTAGAAGGATTTGGCTCCTTTTTCAAGGTAGGTCACTAGAGACACTGGGCAGTCTGTGACCTTGGCTGTCTTTGGGAAGATGTGTTTGGGACCTCTCAGTGTGGATTTTCACTGGTCCAGTAAGCACTTGGACTTTTGCTAGTTATTTTCTCCTGCGAAAGTGTTTAAATCCTATGGAGTACTTAACCACAGTTGACTATGGGCTATTTGGAACCGTTACAATGAAATACATTTTTTTCTTTCCCTCTTCTAAACAGGATTAAAAAAAAATAAGGTAAAGTGAATCTTCAGGGCAGGCCTGAGTGGAAATGAACTTTGGCTCTGTGCTGCCTTGTGAAATGTGTCCAAGAAGCATGAAATTCTATGCTGAGTGCGTGAACCGCTGAGCCACTTGACTCTAACCATATCTAATTTTTTTCCCTGTATTTTCTCTGTTCTTTCTGCTTCCACAAAAGATGGGCCAATCAAGCTTTTCTGTAGGTCGCTCCTCACTGAGTGTGTTGAGTATTTGCCATGTGTTCCTGTTGGTCACATTGTGCCTTGACATTTTTTCACTCCATCCTACTTTGATCCATCGCACTTTGATGCTGTCTGTGGAGAGTCTGGGTGTGGGCCGTTATTGCAAGCGTATTCATGTTTTATTGGAACCTGCGGAAGAGTATCCTCTTACAGGCAGGCTCCCTGGGTTCATATACCACAGTCCCTGTTCTCTAAGGAAAGGAATGTTCTTTATTTTTTGTTTATTCTTCATACTTGGGTCTAAGACTTCATGTCTAAAAGGATTTTAGATTTATTTTAAGGGAACAAGGAAACCAAAGAAAGCTGCTTGGTCCCCTGTCCCAGAGTCATGTCCCCCCCAGTCTGTGGCTTACCTGGGAGAGTTCCAAACTGGAGACTCTAGTGAGCCCCGGGAATGCAGTGTATGTCGCAGTCACCTCAGTGACCTTCCTGTTCTTCCCTCCCCCAAGCTCCAGTCAGGAAAACTTGAGAAGAGCTTTCTTGCCTTGTTCTGACCTGGTATTCCTACTCTTAGAAAAAGGGTAGCTGCCAATGAGAGAACTTTTAGTGACCGTCCTGAGCCTGCAGAGTCCACGAAGGGGAGACGGGATGCACATGGCCTCAGCCCGTGTCACACAGACCAGCCCCTGCCCACTCTCTGCACACTGCCGAGCTGGATGCAAGTGCCAGACTCACTAGGAAGATCTCTTCCTTTGTCCCATAGAGGACATGGATTTTCCTGCATGGCACAGACACAAAAAGGATGTACAGTGAGGGAGCCTGACTGTTGGTAGTAGGGATGAAGTGATAAAAAGCCTGGTTTGGAAAAAGCCGTGTCTCTGTGTTCCTGCATGCTGTTGTGTGGATTTATCAGATGACATTCTTGCTCTTTCTATGGCCTTTGTAACTCTGGAGGAATGAGAGGCACCGTCCCTCAATAAATTTCACTGAGGCAGGCAGGAGCCAAGCAGGTAAGAGCTCAGATGCGTGTAGCTTTTATTTTGTTCTGAGACAGAGGACTCAGTTTCTTCCCCCTCCCTTGCTACTGATAGCAAAGAATGGGCTACATGGTGCAGACTGGTGAAAGTGAATGTGGATAGCTAAATGGTTTGGAACAACTTCTTTATGATGAGAAAATACATAGAATTTGAAATGACTTACCTTTTTTAGCCCCTTCCCTGAAAATAAGAGGAGCTGGCATTCCTGGACTCCTATTAAAAGGTTTCTGGTGTTTTTAATGGGTTCATTGACACCTCCCGGTTGAACACAGCTGATTCTTGGGGATCACTTGCTTTCTAAGGAAAGGGAGAAGGGACTGCAAGCATTCCTGAGAAACAGTCCAGTTTCTTGGACATCGTAGCACCCCTTTTATCTTTTTCATTCTCTGATAAAGACGTTCATGATCCCTAGTCTATTTGAAATAACTTAGCAGCTAGTATAACCTCTATTATTGAATCACAAGGTGATATTGCCCTGGCTGAGGAGTCCCTTTTTTGATGTTGCATTCCTGGTGATTTAGACAGACACTGACTATAATCTCTCATCATTTGTTAAGGTTTAGTTGTAAATGTGTTCTAAAAATTTAGGAGGTCAAAGTTTGCTATTATTTGACCTCTCTGCTGTCCCATGACATTGGTTATAATTTTTTGCTCTCCAAAAATAATTTTTGCTTTCCAACAATTTGTTTTAAGTATTGTATCAATATGTATCGAGGAGCAATCCAGTTGACTGAACAACAAAAGAAAACTCCTGGCCTTCAGTTTTTAACATAAAAGTGAGTCAGATAATCAAATGAGGACTTCAGATGGCTCTGGCTGACTGTGTGTGACATTGTTTGTATTGAAACATACTTGGGTGCCTCTTGTCCACCTTCCTCCAGTGTTAAAATGTCATCTGCAAGGACTGTTGTCTGATTGTTCTGAAGGTTGTGATGTTTTAGAGGGAATCTTAATTTCATTCTCTTTGATGTCTTTAGCTGTGAAAATTAAAAAGCCAATCAAGACAAAGTTCAGAATGCCAGTGTTTAACTGGGTTGCTCTGAAGCCCAATCAGATCAATGGCACGGTCTTCAATGAAATTGATGATGAGCGAATTTTGGAGGTATTGTTCCCATGGGTTCTAGGGGGTTGGTCTTTCTGTGCAACAAAGCCAAAATGGGTGCTGTGTTAGGTTTCACTAATAAAGTGCTAGTGTTTTAAGTACCAAATAAACAGATTTATACCTTCAGAGAATAAAATTATATACTGTTTTTATAAGATAAATCTAAAACTGTATTTAAAGGGCTAAGATAGTATAGCTTTGGGTATCTTTAGCATATGCCACAAAACGTGTGTCTTATAATCTCATTGTTTATGAAAGGAAATAAAACCCTCTTTTGGAACAATGTTGATTAAGACTCAGTTCTCTTGCTGCCTTGGTTAATAGTCTTAGAGTGGCAGTTGTCTACACAGCTGATTATAGGAGGCAAATGAATTGGTTGATTGGAATCAGTAGTATACTATGGACATTCCTTTTGGTCTGTGTGTTAATAGATATACTCTGACAAAAACAGGAATAAATTAGCAAGAATGGCCAAAGACAAATGTGTAATAGAAAAAAAGTAAAAACTTTTCTTAAATTGCCTAAATGGTGGATTTATGACCTAATTTTTAAATATAATACCGTTTATAATGTGATCCCCCTCTACCCCAGGATTTAAATGTGGATGAATTTGAGGAAATATTCAAGACAAAAGCCCAAGGTCCTGCCATTGATCTTTCTTCAAGCAAGCAGAAGATGACACAGAAAGGATCAAACAAAGTGACATTACTAGAAGCAAACAGAGCCAAAAATCTTGCTATAACTTTAAGGAAAGCTGGAAAGACGGCTGATGAGATATGTAAAGCTATTCATGTGTAAGTTCAGGGTATTCTGGAGGCTTATATTGCAGTAAATTTAGGATAATACTGAAAATAAGAAAACTGTTAATTAGTAGATAACAGAGTAATTTAATCGTGGGACAAGATGTGAGGCATAAGATGACACCTATTCTTCAAAGATTCCCTTTCTTGTATGTGTGCCATTTCAGCATTGAGTAAGATGCCAGCACTGAAGAAGTGGACTGAATGTTACTGCTATCGGGCTGTATATGAAGGGGCAATTAATCATTTTGGAAGAATAACATCTGGATTGTGACATCATTTATTGTCCTGGGCTGCTCTTTTATATAGCCATGCAGCAATGCTTACATAAAAGGAAAGTTGAGCTGAGAGTGGCAGATGTTAAGAAAAGGGAGAAATTTCAGTACTCTCTGGAGTATGTGGATTTTATCCAGATTTATTGAATACAAATTTGATGGCATTTGTGGAATGATACAGTTCAGGGCCAGATGCAAATATGATACAGATGCATATTTTAATTCATAACAATAGGAATGTGAATACTGTTGCTCTTAGTTCTTCCAGGACATTTTATTTTATTTTTTAGTTTTTATTTTTGTCTTTTTGAGACAGAGTCTTCTATGCAGTTCTGGCTTGCCTTGGGCCCACTTTGGAGCCCAGGCTGGTTTTGAACTTGCAGTGATCCTTCTGCCTCAGCCTCCCAAGTGTTGGAATTACAGGAGTGTACCACCAAGCCTATCTTCTAGGACATTTTAAACAAAGTTCATTTTGTTTTTAAATCCTTGTTCTCCAAATGAGTTGATTTTATTTTTCTCTTAAAATTTTTTTTCTCCTATTTTTGTGGACATGGTGATAAGGATTCATTAAATGTTTTAAAAAGTTCTTCATAAATTAGAATTTTGTAAACTTTGATTACAGATTCATTCAGGAATTCATAACTGTAAGAGATAATTTGCTCTGATTTTCTTTGGCCAGGCTCATAATCTAATAGTATAGCACCTCCAACTGTTGTTCTGACTGTGTACTGAAACCTGATGAGCTGTCTGGTTTTTAACACACATCTAACAGGTGTATAATTCATAAAGCACGATGGCTGGACAGCTTGTACCACTGGTGGTACATGCATAACTGTCCTATATTACCATTCCTGTCACTGGTGGTACAAGCTGCCCAATGGGAGAGTTGTGTTTGTGCCACCAGTGGTTCAAGGTGGCAACAGCATGCTAATTTTGGTGTACCTGGTTTGCTGTGATTTAAGTATAATTCTGTTATTTTGCCAAAGATTATCCAGATTATAATGCTAAAGTTGTAGCAACTGTTTTGTTTGTTTGAATAGAGCATATACTCACAGAGATCTGATATTCCTTTGAGGAATGTATGCACCTGCCCCAAATCATCCATATAGTGCAAGCATTTGGATTCGTTATTTTTTAAAAGAAATATAGCCTCGGACTTGGTTTAAAGGAATATTTTATAGATGTTACCATATATTCTGTAATTGTGTGTATAGTATAAATCCCTTAATTGGCAGTACTTCCCCTTGGCTAAAAACCATTCTTGAACCACTTAACCATTAGATGGTTCATCCTTTTTTCTGCTTTCTCCTATTGTGATTTACTCTTAATTTGAAAAGGTTCAGGGCTGCCCTCTAACTGTAAGATAATAGCATTGAAATCCAAGAGGTGGAGCTGCAGTAGGGCCCCAGCTTCCAGGAAGGGCCAGTCAGGGTTCCTGCTGCTTAGTCAGGACCCAGCCTGGGGTCCCAGTGCTTCTCCCATGGTGGAGGCCTGGGTCCAGCCCTAGGAATCCAAGACTTTGACTTGGCGCCGATGAGCTGAGTGGGCTGGGAGTGGCCAGAAGGTAGGATTTCTAATGCTGACTTACCACCTTGTCTTCAGATTTGACCTGAAGACGCTGCCTGTAGACTTTGTAGAATGCTTGATGAGGTTCTTGCCAACTGAAAATGAGGTGAAAGTACTTCGGCTCTACGAGCGGGAAAGGAAACCCCTGGAGAACTTGTCTGATGAAGACCGGTTCATGATGCAGTTCAGTAAGATCGAGAGGCTCATGCAGAAGATGACCATCATGGCCTTCATTGGGAACTTTGCGGAAAGCATTCAGATGCTGACTCCTGTGAGTGACCAGCTCTGGCGGGGGAGGGGTCAAAAGATAAAAAAACTCAGAGTCGCATTCAGTGTAATGGGCCTAAAGATTGTGTCTAAGAACTTTCTAGGTTTTATTATTATTTTAGCTATCTTTTTCACATTGTGTCTGCAAAACCAATTGAAAACTAGTCAATTTTCCTATTCCCATGCTATTCTTCCAAGAAAATGCTGCTTTCTAAAAAAAAAGAAAAAATGCCGTTTTCTGTGTCCAAAATCCTCTGGATTTCTAAAGATACTTCGATAGAGAGGACAAGGAAAACTATTTTCTCGAACTTGGCCATTTCCTGAAGACAGTAGTCCTCTGGCTGAGGTGATTGACTGAAAACGTGCTTTTCATGATTCTCATGTCGGAGAGCCATTCCATGTCCTCGTGCTTTCATTGGAAGCATTAAATTCAACAATTCTCCTGCAAGTTTGTTATAGGAGATCATGTTGATGTACAAATAACAGCAAAGTTTGTCTCATTCCTTGTGTTAATCTGCCGAACATTTCTGTTCACGGTTCTAAGTCAGCGTGTTACTGCTTATGTAAACAGGCACTTGGCGCTCACTGAACGTGTCTGTTCAGTACGTGTCCTGAGAACTTTTGGAGGGTGTTGTGTCCCTTTACGTCCATGCGGCCCCCACCTTTCTTGGGCAGCACCATCTATTTGAAAGCATAAATCATGTTGTGTAAGGTGAGAAATCATGGCCTGGGGCCGAGTTCTGCCAGAAGAGGCTGTTGAATCCCTAACTCAGTCTTGGTGGTTTTGGTTGTGGCAGATTTTGTAATATACAAGTTCCTATGTTTCTTGTTACCGTGAAGAGTTTTAGAGAAGAGCTTGCATGTAATGATGTGGTTAAGACTTGATTGGACAACTCGGTTTGTTAGGCTTGAGAAAGTAAAACCTCACCATGAAGACTTCAGGGTCTCAATGCTGGCCTGTTACTCTTGTTAGTTTTAGTTTCCAATTAGTTTCCTTTTATTAACATGTCTTTTTTTCCCTCCTCCTTCCTTCCTTTCATTGGAATCTAGCAACTGCATGCAATTATAGCGGCATCTGTCTCGATAAAGTCATCCCAAAAACTCAAGAAAATTCTGGAGGCAAGTGAAACTTTCCTTGTTTATGTGGGTAGCTACTAGCCACAGCTTGCAGGGGAGCCATCCTGATCGGCTTCTTTTTTCTCTTACAGATCATCCTGGCTCTTGGAAACTATATGAATAGCAGTAAACGAGGAGCCGTTTATGGATTTAAACTTCAGAGTTTAGATTTGGTGAGTGAATTAGAAGCAATTTGAGAGCTCCGTGGATAACCAACAGCAGCAGGAATTAAATCTCGGAGCAGGAGAGTTGGCTATTGGGGTGGAGGGTGGCTTTTTTAGTGAAGGTTCTCTCTTAGTGAGAAGAACAATTTGTATAAATTTTCTGGCACACCCTTAAATCATAAGGACTTAAAACCTTAAAAATATTCATACCCTTTCCAAGAAGTATCACTTCTCGGACTCTTTCCTCAGGAACCTGAATTAGGAATGTTGTATTTAATTTATGATTACCAATAATTAGTAATTTAGAAGTTCGGTATTGTGGGAAATGATTGTGTTGGAACTATAGTTAATACATGATCTTGCCCCTTGTGGTGGTCCACACCTGTAATCCCAGCGCTCAGGAAACTAAGGCAGGGCGCTCACCTGTGGGTATAAGGCCACTCTGGGGTACGTGGTGAGTTCAGGGTCAGTCTGAAGTACATACTGAGACCTTGTCTCAACAAAACCAAAAACAACCCCAAAAACAAAAATAATGAGCTTATTGTTTAAATACTGATAAAATACTTGTGAAGAGTTTTCAGAGAAATGGGTAATTTCTCTGAAAATTTTAGGAGAGAAAGCAAAGTCTGAATTATAAGTATGATCTAATACTAGCTAAATAAAATATAGGGGAAAACAGACTGATTGGAAATAGACTGAAGTATTCAGCACTTATCAGTTTACCGAATCCTCATTTTGGCAGTGGATTTTTTTTGGTGGCACCAGGGATCGAACTCAGGACCTCGCACTTGCCAAGCAGGCGCTTATACTGCTGAGCTAAATCCCCGGCCATTGGTTTATATACTGACTATCCCCAAGTGTTCCTTGTCATTTGAACCAGTTGATTCTTCTGTTGAATAAATTTGATAAAATTGTTTTTCTATTTCCTTTTGTATTATAAAAATTAATGAAAATGTATTCAATTTTTGGTCTTCCAATAATTGGACTGCTAAGTGATTAATAGAATGGATGGAATTAGGGAAGTTTTTCAAAAATTTTTACACTTTTCTTTATTTTCTATTTTGGGAGGCCATTTAAATTAAATTTATTGGTACATTTTTAGATGCAAACAGTGGTCACATTCATCATAGGGAAGTTGTACCTGTAGATGGTAGATCTTGATTCTATTTTATTTTCCATTCCCCTCCCCTCTCTTTCAATCCCGTTTCCCCTTCCTTATTTACAAAAGCTTTGTTTCCATTTTTCCTTCTTTTCCCCTCCCTAGTTCCCCTTCCCATTTGAACATTTTGTTCCTGTTTCAAAGTATCTAATATATATTTCGATCCTTGTTTATACTTTTGGTTTCCAATACCAGAGAAACAATGTGATATTTAAACCTATCTGATTTATTTTACTTAAGAATATGGTCTCAAGGTGCATCTGTTTACCTAGAAATGTTTCAGATTTATCCTTTCTACGTCTGAGTAGTAGTCATTGTATTAAAAAGAAAAACATCGTTATTCATTCAACCATTTGATGAACATTTGGGCTGTTTCCAAGATGTAGCTATTGCAAGCTGTGCTGCTATAAACATGGGTGTGCATATACACTGTTAATGATGCTTTTAATTCTTTTGGGAAGCTGCCAAGAAAGGGAATAACGGGGTCAAGTGGAATCTGTGGTTTCAGTTTTTTGAGGACTCTCCACCCTGATTTCTACAGTAGTTGTACCAGTATATGGTCACATCAGTAGCACTTTTCCCCACAACTCCTCCAGCATTTGTTACAGGTTGATTTCTTGATGATAACCATTCTTTCTGGAGTGAGATGGAATCTTAGTGTTTTTTAAAATTTATCTCTCTCGAATAACAATTGCTGTTGAACATTTTTAAATGTTTATTTGCCATTTATATTTCTTCATCTGAGAATTGTGTATTCATCTTTGATGCCCATTTTTGGATTGGACCTTTAATTTTTTTTGAGTTCTTTATTCTGAAGCAACATTTATTCTTTATTCTGGCAACATTTTTTTCCTACTCTGTGGGCTGTCTTTTGACCCTGTTGGTGGTTTCTTTTGTTGTATTTTCTTTTAAATCTTTTCTATACTGCACAAACAAAGGTGATCTCTTTTTCAGAGTCACTTGATCTTTACAAACAGGATGAGGGAAAATTCTTTGCCGTATCCTGTCCAGTCTGCACAGGGCTAATATGGCTTCCCTGTGAGAAAAAGGGGGATGGGCTAAATCCTCAGACTAGGGGAGACATGGTTATACAATGGGGTATCCATCCAGTCACTGTTCTGCTGCCCCCTGATACCTTGGTGAATTCAACACATGCTTGTCCCTCAGTATCTGCGGAGGACAGTTGCCACCACCCCAGGCATGCTAAAATCCTTAGGTGTTCATGTCCCCTGTATGCAGTAGGTACAACTGACTCTCACCTTACTTTAAATCAGCTCTGGATTGCTCTATACAGTGTAAATGTTTCACAGATACTTGTGGCTGACCCCACAGATGTGGGACATGTGGCCATAAGTGACAAGTATGCTTGGGGTCATCAGGAGCTAGTGACTGAGTGACACTGAGTTAATAGTAAAGACAGCAGTGTGGAAGCCCTGCAGTGTCGGGGGGCCTGCATGCTTGTGTGGCATCCCCTTAGCTTCTGCTGCAGTTGTTCATTTTGAGGAGGTCTGATGCTGTAGTCATCTTGCTGTGAAGCCCAGGAGATGGGATGGCAGATGCCGAAGTGGCAGTTTGTGTAAGCAGGGTGAAGGTCCAAACCGTGCTTGGGGTGATTAGAGTCACCCCTGACATTAGCATATACCCGAGTTGATCAGAAAGTCCTGGAGTCATATAAATGTTGGTGGGCTGGCTCACTAGTGTATTTCTCATGGGAATATTTTTTGCCAGGCTGTTTGCCATTGCATTCAGCTCCTCACTTCACGTAGTCTGTCGGGGAGTGACCCAGTGGGCAGTTTCCCCTCATCCTCATTCTAACCCGTGTGCCATTTTGTTTTCAGCTTTTAGATACAAAGTCAACAGACCGAAAGCAAACATTGCTGCACTATATATCAAATGTTGTGAAAGAAAAATATCATCAAGTGTCCCTATTTTATAATGAGCTTCATTATGTGGAAAAAGCTGCTGCAGGTACATGATTTCAGCTGTTAACATTACTCTCAGGTATTTAATGCTTTTAATTATGAGAGGACTATTCCCTGCTTAAAGAAACAGTCTTCAGAACACCTTTAAAAGGCAGGCACGAGAAGTCAGAAGCTCTGAGCTGGAACGTGTGGTGGTGGTGCTGCCCTTCCTTAGAGCAATGAAATGTGAGCGTGCAGCTGATCTCTCTCCATGTGTTCACTGTGATGACCCAGGTCCTCCAGACTCTGTGCCTTCCTGCTCATTGCCCTTTATGAACTAGGATTGAGAGTTACTCCCCAGCAAACCTTTTTTGTTTGATTTCTTGCTCTCCCAGTTGCTCAGAGGTGGCAGATCTAACCCTTTTGCCATTGCCTGACCGCTGAACGACCTGTCCTTCTTGCTTACCGCTTTGCTGTGGCATTTTATGTTTTTTTTCTTCCAATCATCAGTGACTGTAAGATAGCTGGATGTACAAGGTAATAATAACCACATAATTAGGTGAAGAGTTGACATTGTTAGAGTATCTTTCTACCCAAGGATGCATGGGTAGAAAGTGATAGAAACAGACTGGAAGCCTAGTGTTCTTGCTTTTCATACAGTATATAGCATCTAATGTATCGTGACCTTTCAAGAGTGTTAGGTTTGAAAAAGGAATGGGGAATATGCAAATGGATGGAATTTTAGGCAGTGATTTTCCACTTGTGATCTTGAACCACGGCAACCAGTGTTGATTATAAATTTAGAGTCCTGAGACCTGCATTCAGTTTTCTAAATGTTTTAGGGTGAGGTCTTTTGGTTACTTCCTCATCAAGAGTAAATGCTGTTGCTTCTGCTTTCTTACCAAAGAACACTGTGCACTACCTTCTCATAAAAGATTTATCAGAATTTATTGTAACAGTTTGCATGATCATGGCAAGCTTTGCAATTTTAAAATGTATTTTTTAAAAAATAATTCATTTACCCCCTGGCAGACTGGGTGGTGGGAATAACTGCAGAGATAAATAAATGGAGTGATATTGTTACTGGGACAGATGTCACAGAGATTGAGAATGAGGTGGAAATGAGTAAAAGGACTGGCCGGGAAGTCCCATTGAGGAATTGGGGCTTACTTAGGCAGTAGTTACGTGCATATTTTGTTTGGCCCACACAGTGGCCTATGGAAGAAAATGGTGGAGAGTGGGCTGCTCTCTGGCCAAAGTGTTCTGTGTTCATCTCAGGGGGCCCTACCCAGATTCCTCATACCTCCATTCACGCGTTCGTTCTTCCCTTAATCCAGTGAACATTATTGAATGCCTTCTGGGTACTTGGTAGTCAGAAATATTTTAGAATGAAAGATTCAGGGACAGTTGTTTCGTAATTCATCCTGTACGGAGCTAAATTAAGCAATGAAAGAACCAGAAGTGGGACCAGCCCTGTTTGGAAAACGTCCTTGGGAGGCTCAGGGGTGTGTCTGCTGTGGCCAGTGGCCATACTGCAGATGGGAAGGTTCCTGCCAAACCATTCTGAAATAAGAAAGCATCAAGTTTGTCTGAGGTTCCTTGTGAATCATAGTGGTCTGTGCAACTAACATTCAGAGCAAAATGCTGCCCCCTCCTGGGAAGCCACAGAAATGGGAGAGTCAAAAGATGGGGACTAGAGAATGAAACATTTTGTGCTTATCTCAGACATTTCTGAGCCTGCACGCCAACCAGTAGGCTGTTCCTGGGACAGAAATAAATAGCTGTGTGTAGCATAGGATTTGTCAACATTATTACCTGAATTCCCTTATTTGCCATCTCCTAGCTATGGGCAGGGCAGGCTACAGAACCTCTTCATGCTGCTTTGCTTTATTGGCAAAATGGGTTAACAGTGCAACAAATTAGTACATATAAAGAATTTACTGTAGTGTTCAATAGTTATACTTTCTAATTTATTCATATTAAAGGATCTTTGCACTGAAAACTAGAAACTAGGACTTAGGGCTCCAAATAAGCCTAAGAATCTCTTGAGAATTTGGCTTAGCAACCAGGTGTGCTGTGGTTTTGACTTTCTGTGTAGAAGATCACTGAGACATTGCTTTCTGTGCACCAGTCTCTCTTGAGAATGTTCTACTAGATGTCAAAGAACTGCAGAGGGGCATGGACTTGACCAAGAGGGAATATACCATGCACGACCACAACATGCTGCTGAAGGACTTCATCCTCCACAATGAGGGGAAGCTGAAGAAGCTGCAGGATGATGCCAAGATTGCACAGGTAGCTGGAGGAGTGCTTCCTTTCTCTGCCTGCAGAATATAAAGTTCTCACATAGTTAATGATAATTGCAGGGGTAGCTCCCTAGTGCGCCCTTGGAAGCACTCTTGCCCTGCTTGTTGTCCTTTTCATCCATTTTTTAAAATATGTGTGCAGTACATAATGCAGTACACTGACCGTGGGGAATTGGTGCATGACTGTATCACATCTTAATTCTCTTTCATGCTCTCCTGCTCTTTGAGCTATCCCCTTCATTGTCCTTTTCTAATTTGGGTCTGTACCCTCCTCTGTAGAGTCCTTCTCTGGTCCTTCCCCTTTCCTTTCACTTCTGGACTCCCTCCTGCATGGGTTCCATTTTCACTTTAAGTGACGTGTGCCCGTGCTCTGCCGGCAGTGTTCCTCATGGGTGAGGTTTCTGTAGATCTTGACCTCACAGTCCTGCCCCCCTCTGGGTGTCCCTGATACAGGCAGACTTCGGAGCAAAGTTAACTGTTTGTTATTGATGGGAAGCTGTCATGCTGGGGACTGAACAGACCCAGTGGATTGGCCTCTGGTTTGAGGCTGTCTTGTATCAAAGAAGAATTCATGCAGAGACAGATTGTCCCCTTAGTGAGGATATCATAGGGAACATGAAGCAAAGGGTTGGGATTTAGAGATAAAGAGACTTCTAAGATCCCTTCTGACCTTGTTGATTTTAAGGATTTCTGCCATGGCCTTTGGAAATCCTTGGAACAAATAGCATCATTTAGTGTGTGTGTAAGGGGAAAGAGGATAAACGTGGTCAGAGGAGAAAGTGGTGGGTGATCCCTGTGCTCCACGATTGCACATCTGTGGTTGCTTTGCCAAGTCCTTGGAGGAGACAAGAGGCCACAGGGCAAGAGCCTGCAGGAGCTCCTATCTCTGACTGCTGTTTTGCTTCCATCCGGTGTAGTCCCGTCTCCCCGGGCCTGCAGTTCAAATGCTAGAATTAGTTATACTCAGAAGGAATTTGCTTCTTTACAGGATGCCTTTGATGATGTGGTGAAGTATTTTGGAGAAAACCCCAAGACAACACCACCCTCTGTCTTTTTTCCCGTCTTTGTCCGGTTTGTGAAGGCCTATAAGGTAAACAGGAAGGTGTCCTGTAAGTCTTTCTCACATTTCCCAAGCAGGTGCCCTTGATCAGATGTGCCCCAGTGCAGCCTGCCCTGCACAGGTGTCCTGCTCCCTGTAGGCCTTGGGTTGGGGTGCTCAGTGAAGGTAGCAGTGACTGTGCAGACAAACACTGCCAGGGGGTGGTGAGGGCTTAGGCCATGAGTTGAGCCTCAGCCAGAAAGCAAAAGCTCTTGGCTGTTTCCTCAGGGCAAATGAGATGCTCCAAGCTCACCAGTGCCCAGCTGTAGACTCTTGGTCCACACAAGCAAAGGGGCAGGGCTTCGAAAACTCAGGCCTGTCATCAAGCTGTTAATTGCGTAAAATGAAGGAACCTGTGGCAGAAGCCATATCTGTGGCTGAAGTCAGGGAGAGCTGCATTAACCCTGGCTCATCTGGAGACCTTTAAGCCCGGCACAGTGCTGGTATGCGCTAAGGATGGCATTGTCAAGGATTGTTTCAGTTTCTTTATGTGGATCTATGACATAATACACGGCCATTGGTCTTGAAAAAGAAAGTGACCCCAAGAGTGTTCAAACAATTTGCCTTTCGAGAAAGAATGATAAAGGAAGGTGTTAGACAATTTTAGCCCACTCAGGAAACATTGCCGTCTGTAAAGCTGTCCCTTAGTATCTGCAGGTTTGGTTCTAGCACCCCTATAGATTCTGGAATCTAAGGATGCTCAAGTCCCTTCTGTGAACTGATGAAGCATGCATCTCCCCATATACTAAATCATCTCTAGATTGCTTGTAATACTTAATACAATGTAAGTGCTGTGTGAATAGTTGTGATACCTTATTTTTAGGGAATAAGGACCAAAAAAGTCTGCAGTACAGATAAACTTTTTCTGAATATTTTTGATCCATGTTTAGATAAATTTATGGATATAGAATCCCCTAATACAGAAGGGCAACTGCATTCTCTGGGTTTCTCTATGTATAACACTGGTGCTCTTAGTGGAACAAGGAGTATTGTTCAATGGGAGGGGAGAGAAGAATGTGAGTGTGTTCCGCCTGTTTGGAGAAAAATCTTGAAAATCATTAAAAATATCGGGGGAGGCATTTTTCCAGTATCAGTAGAAGCTGGTATCTTTGGGGCTTTTACTGAAAAGCTCAAATATTTATCCATCACTTTTCAGCATGACTTAAAGTAGTAGTGACGGACCAGCTGCCAGCAGAGGCAGTGTCCTTGGGTAAGAACAGTGTGGACTCCATGTCCGAGACAAGGGAGCCGTGACAAAGGAGCTCATCGGTTACCAGCTGCCGCCGGCTGCTTCTTTGCATTCAGACAATCCTGGCACTGTGTGGACAAAGAGAGGGGTTTAGGGCATCAGCTCCTTTTTCTCTCCCAAGTATAATGAAAAATTACCACAAAAACACCAGAGACCAATATATAAACTTTATTACTGATACATGCTGGGCAGAAGATATCATAATGTCCCTAAATTAGATAGTTTATCAGTTCACAGCTCGACTATCAGAAGTCTGTTCAGGGGGGCTGTCTTCAAGAAACTGTGTCCAAAGGGCTCAAAGCATGAGCTACGGGGAGAGTCTAAGAGTCACTGTGAGGAAAGAAGAGCCCACGGGAGTGGCAGTTTTCTCCTCAACAGTGGGCAAAGGCAGAGGAATCTTAGGTCTTGCTTTTGGAGAAGCTTTAGTTAGGTGGGCGTGTTCTGGAAACAAAACAAACTCCCAAGATAGTCGCTGAGCACAGCTGCCAGTGGTCCCCACAGGCCTGGGAGCTGGGACTCAGGTGGTCCCAGCAGGATGAGGAGGGCAGGCCTTCTGGGTGAAATGCATCTCCACTGCCAGTTTTCAAAGATGTCTGATAGGCGGTCCGTGAGACCTGCGGTCAGTGAGATGTGCTCCTGCAGTGCATCCCTCTCCCCTCCATGTTCCCCAGTTCCCAATTCACTGTGGGGTCTTGAAGAGCAGTTTTTCAAAATTGTGACTGCTGTCATTTCCTTTGATGTGTTCTTACTTGCTTTTTGAATTGCTTAGCAAGCAGAAGAAGAAAACGAACTGAGGAAAAAGCAAGAACAGGCTCTCATGGAGAAACTGCTGGAGCAAGAAGCTCTGATGGAGCAGCAGGACCCAAAGGTAAGAGGCGCCAGGCTCAGGAGAATTCCCAGGTGAGGCCAGCAAGAGGCCGCTCAGGATCCTGGCTGTTCCCTGGACTTGGCACTAGCAGCTTGTTCAGGAACACTGGAGTGAGGTCAGAGCATGTTTGGACAGTATTTCCAATTTATAGGAACTTTAGTCGCATATACAGAGGCCAAACCAGGTAACCGAGAGCCGGGATTAGCAGCTCGGGCTTAGCATCCTGGAAAGGTGCTGTGGTGCTGCCCATTGGCCGCTTGTGTGGGCAGCTGGAGGATGGGAGGAAGCACTTCACGGAGCAGTGTCATAGAGAGGATCAGAGAGTTTGGCAGGCCTGTGCTGTAAGTCTTAAGTCTGTGGTCATTATCAGCTGCTTCTGTGGCTTTCAGATCCAGCTTTCCCCCTGCTGTCTTGGAGTTTTTATGTTTTGTTGGTTGAGTTTCTGTTGTTTTCCCGGAAGTTTCCAGAGTTACCTTGCATTTGAGGAGAATGTCGGGTTGGTGCTGAATGTACTTTTAGCAGAGGCCACTTGTTAAAATACTATAAAGCTCAGGTACTGTTTAGAGTTCCTTCAATTCCCCACTAATCTCTGCTCTTCTTTCTTCGCAGTCTCCTTCCCATAAGTCAAAGAGGCAGCAGCAAGAGTTAATTGCAGAGCTAAGAAGGCGACAAGTTAAAGATAACAGACATGTATATGAGGGGAAGGATGGAGCCATTGAAGATATTATCACAGGTAAAGGATATTTCCTGTCTGTGACCCATGAAGATTCCATTCACCTCACTAGACTGGGCCATACAGATTTTCCCACTTCTTTTGATGAAGGTTGGCAAGTTCTTTATTTGACTTTATTCGGATCCAGAATTATGCAGAGAACCCATGCTGTAGTTCGCAGTGTATTTTTAGTAGCATGTCTGTCGCCTTAACACTGAAAAGTCTTTGATTTCTCATTATCACTGGAACCTTGTAGTTTCTGCAGGGCTCCTCCTCCTGCTGTTTTCCAGGGCTCGCTGTGCTCCATTTTCTTCCTGGGAGCCAGTCACACCCACTTGCCTGCATATAAATTCTGTGGACACCATCCCTCAACTCTGCCCTAACTGAGGTCATGCGGGCTCTGCTTAAAAGCCTCTTTACTCATTCAAGCTAAAAGGAAATCAGAGGCTGATACTTTAATATCAGTGAGCTGCCAGGCATGTAGCCTCTGGCGAGGGAGCGTCACACTGTCAGGAATGGGATCTAACCCAGTGTGGCTCTTGTCTGATGAAAATGAATACTTTCTGCTTGAATAAATCTTGAATTTTCGTACTTCTTCTTAACTAGGATGGTAACTTGGGCAAGGAAGTATCTTTCCTTTCATGTCTCAAGTACGTTAATGCTGTATATTAGCTTTTAAAATGCTTAATGCTTTTTGTTATCCGAAGGTTTAAAAACATGCTTATGTGTAGAGAATCATATGATGAGTTTCCATGTAACCCCTACTCACTCAACACTTGTCAAATTGGCTGTGAGGCCAGTTTTGCGACATGTATGCTCTGACCACCCTCTGTTCTAGCCTTGGGATTTTTTGAAGAACATCCCAAACTGTAATTTTATTTGGAAATATTTGACTACATAAAAAGATAAGGACTCTTAAAAGAGAGAAACAAAAATATACCAACAGTACCATTATCATCCACCCAAAACTAACAGTTCCTTACTATCATATATTTAGCTCTTATTCACATTTCTCCAATTTCCTAACCTTTTAAAACTTACAATTCCTAGACTTTTATTTCTTGTTTTAGTGTGGTCAGCATTGTAAACAGGGATCCCAAACTGCCAAAATCACACAATTTTTCATCAGTTCAGATCAAAAGAAATTAAGGGGAAAGAGAAAAAAACAGAGAGACAGAGAGGAAGAGATTGATTGATTAGATTTTTTTAAAAAAATGAAGTCACTCAAAGAATCCCTTGCCCAGTTTAAAGCGGCATCAATTCTGAGTGAGTGGGTGAGCGGCCCACAACCTGTGTATGAGTACACACGTGGCTCACTGCCGTCCCAGTGTGCACCTGCAGTGGCTTGTATGTAGCCCCGTTGTCCAGTCTTTCTCCTTGCGTCCTCCACGCTGGGGGAGAAGCTCCAATCTGAGCAAAATGAGGAACAGATCGCCTTCCGTGGTAAGCAGCCCTTAGTCTCAGTGACACAGTAAGACTCACTTGCAGACAGGGAAGGCTCCTGTGTGGCACAGTTGAGAGCTTGATGTCCCTTTTCCCTCTGCATGTCCTCCATCCCTGTGTACATTTATTTCCCTGACCTAAATCATCAGTATGCCAGAGGAGGTGAATGTGTATCTACTTCTAGAACAACTTCCGGTCTCCTTGAAATGTTTTTCTCTCCCAAGCCCCAAGTTAATTATCTCTCCCCTTTCGCTGCCCACGTCCCCACCCCTGCCCCAGGTGTCATTAACAGAGCACTAACTGTGTACTAATGCAGTAGACTGTGGCCTCTCACTCTCTCCTGTTTCTGTTGTTTGGCTGTCATTCCCCATGCAGTGCTGAAGACTGTGCCCTTTACTGCTCGCACCGCCAAGCGTGGCTCTCGGTTTTTCTGCGAACCTGTGCTCACTGAGGAGTACCATTACTAAACTATTACTCTGTCTCACCTGATGGCTCTTGAAAGGTTGCTACAGGTTTTTTGACCTCTGTGTCCCATTCTTTGTGTCTGCCAGGGCCAGCCACCATGCTAGCATGGAAGCGCCATTTCCATCATGTGATGATTGTGTTGTCCCTCATGCTGCATGGCTTTGCATTTGGTCATTATTGTTCCCTCACTGTCACTTTCAGTTACGTATGTCTCCACATTGCTGTGATGGTCTGGTGTGTGTGACAGCTTATAAAATTGCTTGCAGAATTTTTCAGAAAAATAGTGACCAAAAAAAAGTGAATAGAATACTGTTCTGAGAATCACAACTGGAAAGCAAATAGATTGCTTTTTTGCCTAATATTTTTGGACACAAAATGATAGTCAACAGTAATAGTAACTATTAAAGCTAATGGTTTTACTGTACTCTAATAGGTTTGTATTTAGTCCCCCTTGTAGTCAGTTAACATGCTGAGAGTAAAATAACCTGTCAAACAAAATTGCTGAGAAAGGAAAAGGGCTCTGAAAATGTAAGATGATTTGCAGGAGAAACTAAACGAGACACTGCTGCAATCAGGCCTTTTTTGGCTTTCTTCTGTAGTTCATAGTGGGCTGGGCCTCACAATAAGAACTTAATGCTGGGAGCACTTCCAGCTTAGACGCCTCTTTCAGCCGATGTTGGCAATTCATAGCCTCACAACACCCCATCCTGGGCAGGTCACCCCGTTCACCGTCATGCCCAAGCTGTAAGGCAGAGAGTGCAAACAGGCTTACGAGCCCCCTACCATCTTGTTCTTGCCTCTTTGCACTGGCTCTGTTCCATGTCAATCCCGGGTGTTTCTGTTGGAACAAGATCACTTCTGGACCTGCTTCTTTGGTCAGAAGAGCAGCACCAAGGCAAAAGCCTATCATTGGAAAATGGCACTTTTCTTAGAATTAAACAAAACAGCAACAAATAGCAAAACAAAAAACCCCACTGTTTCCAAGACCTTAACTTCTGGGGTTAGCTCTCGATATTTGAAAAGGGAAGAAACGTGTCTGGATGTTGATCTGAAAAGAGACGAGGGAAGAGCATAATACTAATTGGAAGTAATCCTTGACTTTGGCACTGAGACTGACATGGAACTATGTTTCATCTATGCTGTTACTGCTGTGTGAGTTGTTCTTGTATGTTTGTTGTTCTGTCTTTAAAGACCTCAAAAGACGTAGTTTTTCGCTGCCTACCCTGCCGCCTGCTTACCCTCCAGTGCTTCGTAACAGGCTGGAACCTCATCTGCTTGGGCTATGTTTACTGTCAGTTTTGCTACTGGACTGTCTGTCTTTCTGGAGCCAATCTTCAAAGCAGCTTGGAACTGGGTGGTCAGAGCGCAGGGAGGGGAGACACACTGATCTTCCCTTGTTTTATCTAACATTACTTGCAGAAATTGTCTCCTCCTCTGTTGGCTAACATGCCCAGGAATGTTAAGCACTAAGTTGAGTTGCTTTTCATTTTCATCTCATTTTTACTTAACCATCATTTTGTGTTTTTGTTTTTTTCTGTTTAGCCTTAAAGAAGAATAATATCACTAAATTCCCAAATGTTCACTCGAGGGTAAGGATTTCTTCTAGCACACCGGTGGTGGAGGATACACAGAGCTGGCAAGCATCACTTTTTACTTAGCTTCCTCCTCTCTCTGTATGCAGATCAATGGTTTCGATTTATGGCTAAGAGTAATACTGGTGAGAATCTGACCAGGGAGAAATCTTTGTACCTCACTTTCTAATAACGTGAGATTGAACCTCTCTGTTGGACTCTTTCTTGGCCTGCTTCATGTTCAAGTGTGATGGCTTGGGCAGGGGTATTTGATGGTGATTGTACTTGCTTTGGTGCGAGGCTGTCCTTCCCTTCGCCCCTTATTGGCCTTCAGGTTGTTCGCTGCATTTTGGTCTGGAGGTTGAGAGTGGCTCCTGGCCAAGAAACATTATGTAGCCTTTGCAAGATTAGGATTTTTTAGAATTAATTGCTCAGAGACCTCATGACCTCAGACCTGAGTATCATTAGTCAGAAGTGCAATTCTGACCTTCTCTTTTATCAGGGTCACAAGTTCTAGTGCTTTAAGAGCTCAGGAAGGTAATGGGCCTGTGCTGGGAACTGTGCTGAGCCTCAAGGAAAGGTCTCAGTCTGCTGACAAAGGTCTCTGAATTAGGATCAGATTGCTGATCCTAATTTTTTTCAAGAGAATTTAGAAACCCTAGTTTTAATTAACAGTTAAATATCTGATAACTATTTTAAAATGAAGAATGCAGCCAGGCATTGTGCTACATGTCTGTAATCCCAGCACCTGCGAGGCCAAGGTAGAACCTTAAACTTGAGGCCAACCTGTGCAATTTAGCAAGACCCTGTCTCAGAATGCTGGAGATGTAGCCCAGCAGGAAGGCCGTGAGTTCAGTCTATAGTACAATAAATAAAAAAAATATTTGAGGGATGCAGTGGGACAAGCATTGTGTGAGCTGTGAATGAGCAACCCTACTTTTAATTTAATGAGTAAAGGTCTAAAAAAAAGGCTAAATTTGGTTTTGTTCTATTGTTTGCATTTCTTTCTACAGATAGAACATTTCCTAGCAGAAATATAAAAGGAAAAATACACTAAACAACATTAGGGGAAACATAAGCCTGCTGTATGTTTTTTTTTTTTTTTTTTCTTTCACTATGTTCTGATGCCGTCAGAAGGAGGTTACATGCAGACTAGGCTCTGCCTTACTCATGAAAACATGCCTTCATGTTGAGAACGCTTACATAAAATGCTTCTGCTCATCCCATTTCATCCTAATTCAGAAGTCCCTCTTAAACTAGCATGTAGAAATTTGATTCATTCATGGAAAGTTGTATTTGTGTTTTGGTTTTGAATGTTAGACATTCTGCTTTGCACTAGCCAACACAAAGTAGAAAATGGAGGAGGACCTATTACTCTGCTGAAGAAACACAAAACATGTTGGGTGGCAGGAAAGAATACTGAGAGAACGAAGTACTATTTTCATTTAGTTATAATGGTTAGTTGAGCATTACATTTCTACTTCACAAAAGTAGCTAGGCTAATGACGTCCATCTGCAAACTAAGGCCTTGAGGTTCCTTCGTTGTTAAACTTTAATAATAAGATGATACCAAAGTGTGTTTGATTAGTTTTGCAATTTAAAATTCATTACAAATATTGTTCATGTTTGTAGCTTCCAGCTACAACTGCTTATAATTGAAGAAACATTTCAAAATAAGACTTCAGTTAGACTCTCTAGATAATGACAGAAATGATCTATATATTTTTCTCTTTAAGTCCCAGAATCCTACCAGTATTACATCTTACTGTTTAACTGTAAACACTGAAGGTAAATGTACGTCTTTAGTTCAGTGCTCAATGAGTTTGAAGGGCCTATCAGCTGACTCTTCTAGACAAGCTGCTTTGATTGGCTGCCAACTGGCCTTTGTCTTGCTTAAACACATTAAATGTTGCTGTTTTTTCACTGGTGCTCTCCTCTCTACAGATCTTAGAAACCAGCCCTACAGACGAGCCGATGCGGTGAGGAGAAGTGTCAGGCGGCGCTTTGATGACCAGAACTTACGTTCTGTTAACGGTGCCGAAATAACCATGTGAAACCTGAGACTTGCCTGCATGAATAGAGGGTGTGTGTAAATGAAACTGCCCACATGGACTCTCTGCTACCATTTAGCTGCAGCCTTGAACACATCAAGTATTTGAAAGGGCTCAAATTTAGTAAACACATAGGAAAATGATGGGTTCTCCTTTCAACCCTTATTAACAAGTGCCTAAAAATGGAAGTACCTGCTCAGATTAATCAAAGCAATAGGATTTGATTTGATTAGGTATCTTTTTACACCACTATGTTATTGTTTTTTTAACCAAAATATAAATTCATTATGTGCCACTGTGATTATCCTGTGATAGCCCACTCTGGTTTCTTACTAAGCTGTACATAACAAGGATGTATCTCCTATGGGCTTTCCTTGCTGAGATGTCTTTTAAGGACTTTGTGTTCCAGCCATGTCCATAAAGTTTGTATTTTAGAGGACTTGCAGTACAGAAGGAAAAAGATCACATTATAAAGTCCTTTTGTCACTAAACCCCATCAAAGTACAAACAGGATGCAAATGTAGTGGCATAAGAAGTCAGCTCCGTTTCCAGTTTCGCGTTCTACTAGTTCTATGGTAGGTGCCATGCCGTGAGAAACATTCCCTGGTGTGGACACAAGACGATGGCATAACTGTGGAAGACTTTTTGCAGTACTATTTTGAAGCTAGAGGCAGCTTTTTAAACAATGCAGATATATTTATTAATTAACATTAACCTCTCAATACTCAGTATTAGGATTTTCAATGCCATTACGAATCAATCCTGAGAAGAGAAATTGGTGCCTTGCTAGTCAGGGAGTTTTCTATGGTAGCTGTCAACAAGCATGTAAGATTGAATCTGCTAGCAGAGCAGGTTTGGAATCTAGCCTTGTTCTCCTCTGACAATCGCAGGGTGTGTTTCTTGTTTTCTTTTTGTAAATTGGAAAATAACAATGCATTTGGCATTCTGTATCAAAGCTGGATTGTTCTATTTGTTACTTACGAGCAATTACAACTAAGCTGTTGAAGAGTATGAACATCAAGATTACATTTAAAGATATGTGATGGGACTAAATGTCAACTAAACCACTGTTATTTTTTTCCTTGCTGTCTGGCAAGGCATTTGGTCCATTCCAGAGTTTAAATGAAAAACTGGACAGAAGTTAAACTGATACTTCTCATAATAAACATTTTGCTTCTGGCTCACCTTCTTGGTACCTTACAACAGTATATTAATTGTAAAGTTTGTTGTATAGTATTTAACCACTGAATTTATGTTGTGCTTACATGAACCCCTTGGTGAAGGTCCCTTTTCCTTGGATAATATGTAGTTATATGATCTTTTAAAATGTACAGATATTTTGCTATAAAATTGGTGCAGTTTTTTATGGTTTTTACACTTCTCTTTAATTCCCACCCTAGGCTCTGGGTAATACTGTAAATATTGTTTAAAAATGCATCAGCCTATGCTATACAATCTGAATGTTATTTTAACTTATAGTTTTTTTTTTTTAATATATATTTAACTACCAGGACAGTGTAGGGATCAGTTACCACATTTCACTTTTAGCTCACCTATTTACAGATTACTTTTAATCTACCACCTGCTGGCCTATTCCCATAAATGTGTACTTTAAAAAGAACATGCCAAGATTTTGTCTGTTTGGTTAATATTCAGCTTGATGAAAATAGTAATTTGGCCATGAGACAGAAGACAAATAGTTGGGCCTTTATCACAGTGCAGCTGTTTTCTAAAGCTCAGTGCTGACATACACGTTAAAATAATTGCCTATTTATTAATAAACAAATAGAAAATAATGTTGACATGTTCTTTTCTGTTTTGTCTATTAATGGGCCTGCTTCCTACCAATATTAGAAAGATGTTTTATAAAAACAATTCATGTTACTTCTCTGGTCTTTCCATGCCATCTGAACAAATAAACTATTTACGCTACTATTCTGTAATATGTTGTGATCTTTTTGGTGGTGCATTCTCGGGAGTTTTAGCAGTTTTATGTAGACTTTCTTCTCTAGAAAGATACATTTTGGGGCCGGGGATTTAGCTTTTTGGCAGAACACTTGTCTAGCAAGTGGGAGGCCCTGGGCTCAGTCCTCAGCACCAAAAACTTAAAAAAGCTAAAAGACAAAAATAAAGGAACATGGCAACTCAGAGTCCAGAATCAATTGGGAAATTTTAGGAAGAATTACTCCTCCTGTCACAAAGCCTCCTGTTTTTGTTGAGGTGGGATCTTGCTCTGCTGTCCTGTCTGGTCTTAAAACTCCTGGGCTGAAGTTATTCTCCTGCCCTAGTCTTTTGAGGAGCTGTGACAACCTGTTGTGTGGAACAGAGTAACAAAATTGATTTTGGAAGGCAGGTTATCTCTAAAATCATAAATTTACTGCTTCTAGAGAAATAGCACTCTTTTTTTTTTTTTTTTTTTTTGGTAAGATGCTATCCCCCCAATGTGTTTTAATTAGGATTTTAAAATTTGTGGTACTGGGAGTGAACCTAGGGATTTATCATTAAGCTACATCCAAGGCCCCTCCCCAACCTTTTTTTTTTTTTTTAAGACACTGTCTCCCCACTTCAGAGTTGCCTGGATGGACTTGGAATCCTCTTGCCTTAGCCTAAGTGCTGGGATTACAGGCATATGCCATCACACATGGCTTTAAGCTATGGTACAGATACAAATTCTGTAGAGTGTGGAACATCTGCACTTGCCAACCATCCTAGCTGGCAATGTACACACATTGGTTTTGGCCCCATTGCACAGATATTGCTGTTTTGTTTGGTATCAGGAATCGAACTCAGGACCCAATGCTTGCCAGGCAGGCACTATGCCACTGAGCTATATACCCCCCAGCTCCAAACAGGGCTATTTGTACTAAATTATCAGAAAGCTTAAGTGTTAGTCAATTTCTTTTTCTGGAAGCAAGAAAGTTTTTATTTTTAAAAAATCTTACATGTGGCTTTGACTTATAACCACTAAAGGAACTGTTACAGTACATGATTATTCTGCCACAACTACTGTGCCTGTTTGAGTTGTGAAACTTGGCTATATTCAGTTGTCCTGTTTTTCACAAACCTGTGATGTGTTAACACTGTTATACACAAGAAGAAATGACTATGCAAGATGTGCCTTGTCTAGAGTCACAAATTTCTTAAGATGAAAGAGCCTGTACAAGCACTGGGATTTTGTTCCCAATTCAGTGCAGTTTTATAATGCAGATGAAACTTTTATTTTTTTGACAGGAAATGTTACATTCTGCAATTAGTGATAATCTCATTTGTTTTGTACAAGTACTTAATATTAAAAGAATAAGATTTTTAATATTCCACAAATTCAGAGTATTTACAAACCCAGACAACAGCAAGTCATAAATGAGGCAGATATGGTTAGGTTTAAAAGCTGGGCACAATGACCCAGCATTTAGGAAGCTGAGGTGGTTCCCCTGAGTTCTGGCTAACCTGAACTAGAACTACACAGTGAGATCCTGTTTCAAAAAAACCAGAATATGGAAAACACATGGTTAGGGCATTTTATACAGTGGTACCTTTCCCCCTCTAGTGTTAGGAACTGAATGTAGGCTCCGTCAATGAATTGTGTATTCTATGGCTGAGCCATGCCCCAACCCTAAACATGCTGCTTCTGAGGGCATCTATTTTGCCCAGGCCAGCCTTGAACTTGAAGTCCTGTCTCTGTCTTCCAGGAGCTACATTACAGGTGTGCACACCACTTTATAGGCATGTGCCACTGCCAAGACGGCCCTCTCATTCTAGCATGTTTTTATAAAAGGGTGTTTACCAGTAACTTTAACTGTGTATGCTTGTTCTCCATGCATGAATGCTAAAATCCAATGATGCTCAACGACCATCATTACTTTGCTCAGCATATAATAGGATTTTTTTATGACCATCACTGACTATCGTTCTGAGTTCTTCATGGAATTCCTTAATTTTAAGATGGATGATACTTACATCAGCTTTAAAACTCTTACTTGTATTTGACAGAACTCTTGTTAGCTGTAATCTGGTTTCCTAGCCATTATCAGAAGTACCTACACAAAGATGAACTTATAACTCATACAAAAGGATTAATTTGATAGTTTTCCATCTTTTAAAGTTAATATCCAACTATTCCTAAGAAAACCATCTGAAGCAGGAAATGCATGAAGGTGCTGATGTTTACCCTTTTGGAGGAAGAGTTCCACCTTGTATAAAGAATATTAGGTGTTACACTGAGAAAACAAAACGTAAGCATTAACTCCCAAGAACTCAAGGGTGCTGGACGAAAAACGTGGACACAAATCCAACTTATTTGTAGAAAGTCATTTTTTTTCTAATTTATTAACAAAAGGTCTAACTATGTAACTGAGGTTATTTACATCAGGTTAACTATAAAAGCATGTGAAAAATCTGGTAATTACAAACATTGAAAATTGAAACCTTGTTTACTCACCTTTTAGGAGCCCTCAATTCAGCTGTATAGGTGGGCAAGACTAACACTGACCAAAAAATATTCACTTTTCAAAGCATGTTTGTTTATAAATAATGCATTTAGATAACTGTAAGTAACAACACAGAGTAGCATCAAGAAATGGCTTGGTTTGAAACTAGACTGGCAGTTAGGGTTGGAGGTGGTTAGCTAGCTCTTCCAAAACAAGTATCAAATTTCAATTCAGTTACCAGTTACCAACAGTGAATGTGATGGCCCTGAATTAGATCCTACTGAGAACCACAAAATGAACTGAGTATGAAGCAACCTTAAGAAAAATGTGATTAAAGAACTGAGGCCAGTACACAAAGATTTGAGGGCTAAGGAAAGTATATAGGTAACCAGAAAACTCTACTTTCCAGCTCATCTTTAAAATTAGCTCCTGTAAATGGAACACCTGCCACAGCAACATTATCCACCCCAATTTAAAAATACCCCAAAATGATTAGCTTTCACCCTGAAACTCATTCTATGTTCTCAAGAAGTTTTCAGAAACTTCTGAAGTAACAATATAACCACTGGATTATTTTAGGCGTACCTCAATTATGACTAGATTTAGAGTTGTGAATTTGTATTGTTTATTGCAATGATGCATTTTAGCCCTTTAATACAGATGTTACCATGGATGGTAGATGAGTACATGTATCAATTAGTATTTTACATTTACTAAGTGCCTGTTATGTGCCAGACACTGTCCTAATTCACAGGCCAGATACACAGCAGTAAATGAAATAGACAAATCCCTGCCGTGGAATTTACATGACCACCACTTAAATGAAAACATTTGGAAAATGTTTTAAGAACAAGGTAAGCATAAGGAACATAATTATACTGGTATGCGCCATTATCAGAACAAAATGAGAATATAAGCCTCTTAGAAGACAGGTCCATTAATCATGATGTTACTTTGCTTTCTGTTTATGTAAAATGAGTGCAACTCAACCTAAGGAATGAACTATGGTTCAATTAAAATCTGGTACTGAGATACGTCCCCAAAGGACAAAGTTTCAGATCTAGGGAATCATTAATGTATTTTATTTTCATTTCTAAAAGAAAGTTTTAAAAAATGTTCTTTAGGTTCTAAATTTACATTTAAATTATATACTCAAGTATTAAATACACTATAAATTTAAAAGTCATTAATCACTGTTTCTTAAGTACTAAAGTACTATTTAAAGGGTCTTTTTTCCTTACACCTCTTTTTTTTTGGTCAGGTCTAGCTATGTATGGTATTCAGGTTGGGCTTTAACTTGCAATTCTCCTTCAGCCTCTCAAACTGAGATTATAGGCAAGTGCCACCATGCCTTGCTTAAAACTTTTTCATATATTTTCTGGACGCAAAAGCAAATAAATATGGCTGCCTAGCTAGCACTTAACTGTTAGTACTGGAAAAACCAAAAGCATTTACACAAATCCTTAATTGAAATTTGTACAGATGAATGAAAACTTAAGACTTACATAGTTTTAAACTATGAGTATTTTCCAGGAAAACAGAAGATAATATAGTTTGTAGTTTCTCCATCCTACAAGTATGAATTGATTGCCTTTTTTATTTTATAGGGGTATAAAGTCAGATGTACTTAAACAGTTAAAAGATGAAACAATCATTACAAAATTTACTGGGAAGAATAAAATTATTTAAAATTGAAATAAAGTGTGATGGGATCATTGTTTTTGAGAAATTACATCATTTAAATTCATTCAGGAAAACTGCAAATAATCCATACTTGATTGACTATAATTATCTGACCTCTCAGGGACATTGTTTTCCTAACATGGAAACTAGGGACTGGGAGACAGTAAGAATGCAAAATACCTGATGCTGTGATTTTGACCATGGTATTAAATATATTAGTGATATGAAGGGAAGATAAACTCAACATTTTCTTAAGACTGTCAGTCTTAACTGAGAACTACAAATTATTCTCATTGAGAATAAACTGTTTTCCTGCTTAAATTTGATACTTCAGCTTTTATCTATCTGAACACTTAACATAATTAGGTTAAAAACAGTGATTGAATATAAAATCTTATCATGATCTGTATTCAGATCTTTCTGGTCCCTAAAATCCGTCTGATGGGATCAAACACAAAGCATCAGTCATGTACTTTAGCAATGATGTTCCACTTTTTGAGTTGCCATTTGTTCACTTTTAGGTCAAATTACGTGCATGGGAGAACTACAGGGATACTGTGGATACAGGGATCTTACGATGTAAGGATGTAAGAAATACAGAAATCTATTTTGAGGACATATTACAACACATCAATAAGGTTTTTATTTAAATAGAAAAATCAAAAACTTTAAAGTTGTATTTTAAAAAAATTATCATTCATGGAAACAATTTTACAGATTCTAATTTCCTGTGAAACATCGCTAGTTTATCTCCCAATACCATATGTGTATTTTGAAGATTTTACCACTGACTTCGATGTCAATGACATGATTAGCAATCTTATCTTTTTTTTTTTCTGTCTTTTTCTTTTTCATCGGTACCGGGATGGTACCGGGGATAGAACTCACGACTGCCTGCTTGCAAGGCAGGCACTTATGCCACTGAGCTAAATCCCAGACCCTTAACTATCTTTAAACTGGGACCTCTGAAACTTAAATCTAGCCAAATTGTTGCCAAAGGTATTATGAGTTTTGAACTGATGTACAGTGTATATGAGCAGGCTAGTTTCAAGCAATGTGTTCACATTTTCTCAAAAGTAGTAATTCTCACTTTCTACCAGCATATTTAATAGCAGAAAAAGGACCCCCTCCCCACTTTGAGTCTTTAGTCGACGAGAGATTAAAACAAAGGGTAGGATGGGAAAACAGTTGTCCTGGTCAGTCCCATTTTCAAAATCATTAAAATGGTAAGGGACAAACTGTTCTTCCAAATCTCAACTTGTACAGGATCTCTCAAAGTATTCAAATTAAAACAAAGAAAATAGCTCAGATAATATCAAAAAGGCTAGGTGCTAAACTTTACTTAAAAACTCCTGCACTGAAGGAAAATAGTATAAATTACATTACCAACCTTCAAAAGTTAGTTATGTAAAGAGTATCTTCAAACCACTGCCTTGCTAAAATATTCCAGGAAATTTATAAGAGAAAAACAAAACTAGGGACCTCAAATGCACTGATTTATAATATTCTTAGATATTAAAAAGGGAAAGTTAACTATTCTGGGTAAGATGAAGCAAAATTTCAGGGCTTTAGTATCTTTGAAATGATACAATTTAGAGCTGAGCAGTGTTAGGTAGAAATAAATACTAGTACACACTAGAAGAGAAGGTTTAATAATTGATAAAAATGTACAAAAATACTCAAATCAGAAATGCTTTAGAATGTACTGTACCATGAAGTAAATACTTCTCAGTGAGTAGGGAAGGTAAAAGGCCTTCTCAATGAAAAAAAAAAAAAAAAAAAACCAAGAAAAACTGGATTAAAAAAAAAAAGCTGTTAAAGAAAATGTGTAAGTCAACATTGATTTTTCTTATTTTTTTAGATAAGGATACTGAGGATATTGCAACTATCACTTAAAAGTTTGGTGGCACATTCTTTAGTAGGTCCTTAAGGCAACAGATTTAAACTAATTTACAATTTGATTTGATGTTAACTTTTAAAACATCACCTCTCAAAATAGATGCTCAAAATAATGCCCTCATAATAGACTTTTTAAAATGTATTCTGATGTTTCATAAAAAATAATGGTGGCTTTATTATAGTAGTGTGTACAGCACTACTATAGCTAAGGGTCTACACCAAGTTTCCATCAAAAAAACGTATTTCTCAGCAGCTCACCACAAAACATCACATTAGATTTAACCAGTTGGGTAGTGCACAAAAAAGCAGTTTTATTGGATGCTGGTGCTTTTTTTGTACTACTATATTATCAAAATTTTTTCACTGTGTCTTTAAAAGCCAACTTCTATAAAGTAAATCACTTCATGACTTAGCCTTCAGAACAAAGTAGAGACATCTGCAGTTATCAGTAAATTGCCACCTTTAATCCACCCTGCAGTGCCCTATGAAAGGGTCACAGAAAGACAGTTATGACTGTAGGAAAATATGATTCTTGATACAGAATCAAAAGTTATTTTCAATTTTCTTTGCTTTTATAAAGTCCACAATAACAATACTTAAATGCACTTTTTTTTTCTGTGATACAATTAAAACCCAGTGTTACTTAAACTGAACTTAAAATAGAGTCCCTGGTCTGAATCAGACTTTAAATCATACTGTAAACATATATTTGGTATAATTTATTGATCATCGTCCAGTTGCTCCAAAAGGGTTCTTCTTCGCTTTTCTAATTCTCCTTCACTTAGTTCACTGCCAGAAGTATCCCAATTACCCTGTAAAGACATTGAATATATCAACAGTGTTAGCATTCATAAAGTTAAGTAGTAAATCTATGAAAAACAATCCAAAATCTGTAGCCTTTCCCATTTCATAGGGCTTAAAAGCTAACTTAAAAACTATTCCCCAAATGTCCATCAATGGATTACTGACTGCTATGAAGTAAGTAGTGAATACTCAAACACTTAACTTAGAATGGGACTTTCATATAGTGCTATAGTGCTATTTTCATCTTGCATTAAAATATAAATCAAGAAAAATAGTACAGAATGGTTCCTTTCTTTTTAAAGAACTGAATATGAAACATCTTGTTTTTGCTTAAGGGAAGGCCAGATGTTCCCCATATCTAAGTAATATATTCCTTGCTAATCTCACATAGATTTTATGTGATCTGGTAAGTACTTATATGACAGAAGGTAAAGATGATATACTCTTAAATATGCTGATATTTTTTCATGCTCATATAAACCAGTATTGAAGAGTAGGCTAAGATTTAGGCTGAATAAACAAAAAGTACTGCATTATCTGTGAGACAACTTCTGGCAAATACACTGAATTAACCCATACCCCTTCACTATAGGAATTTGGCTGAACCTACTATTAACTGAAAGGTATTAGTGAGTATGGAAGAGGCAATGTGTACTTCATTGTTTACTAAGGCTGTGAATCAGGCTCATGTGGCTGCATGTAGCTTTTAAACAACAAAACACTAAAGGTAGACTAGAGTTCTACACAGTAATGCTCTCCATTAATAATTCAGAGGCATTACCTTTTTCAAATTTACATTTATATGAGGAATTTACAATGCTAAGGTTTGTGTTACTGTGTTTGTATTACTGTGTGTTTTGCCATCCTTGAATAAACTATGTATATAAAAGAAACTAATGACTAATTGTATAACTTGATATTAAAATACTGTGATTTGTTTTCCTGATCCTACTCACTTGTGCTCACCCCTCTTCAATCAATATGTCAAAATCAGTACTGGAATGTTATTTTGAAACTGAATTTAGGAACTATGAAAATAATGGGCATGTACAGAACCCCTGATTTAAGTCTCTTACATTTTATATTTCTTAAAAAAGTAACACCTAGGTGTGGTGGCAATTAGTGTAAAGCAATAGATTCCAGGTCAGCCTGGAAAGTTTAGTGAGATCCTATCTTTAAACTGTTTTTGAAAGGCAGACATAGCTCAGACAGTACTTGCCTAGCAGGACCTAGGTGTTAGGTTTCATCTCTATACTGGACAACAGAATGAAGCAACAGGGAGAAATTTAAAAATCAGGAAGAAAATGTCCTGTGGTACATCTTAATGCATAAAGCAGACCGTATTTTTCTTAGTGCGTCAAAAAAGAATGCTATATTTTGTTTTGAATTAAATAATATAAAATTTAGGAGGCTGGAATCAAGGGTCACTCATAACCATAAACATATTAAAGATTTTTCTCTAGAGTCAATAATACTGTTATGGTTTTAAACACAACATCCATTTTTGCACTTTGCAAATACAGAAATGAAAAACTTCTAAACACTTACAGACTCCTTCCCAGTCTTTTTCTTAGGTGATTTGTGTTTTGATTCTGATCTCTGTCTAGTTCTGTCTTTTTCATTTTCCCGATCTTTTTCTTTTTTATCCTTTTCTCGTTCAGCATCTGACTCTGGCGAATCCTATGTAAGTAAAAAATGTTACTTTTGTATGGTGGGTAGTGGTATTGGGGATTGAACCCAGCACCCTTGCATTGAGCTATATCCTCAACCCTTTTTTATTCTGAGACATGATTTTCCTAAATTATCTAGGATGGACTCGAGCTTGTGGTCCTTATGGCTTAGCCTCTCACATTTTGGAATTACAAGACCTGAGAAAAATACCATTTTATATTTGAAAAAAATCTTTAAGTAATTAAGAACATTCATGTATAATAGGTTATCATATTCCTAAAGTGGTGAATATAATTTACATTAATTTCAAAGATTTGATAAATTACCCCATGATTCATGGGCAACAGCCAATTTTCCTATGAGGAGGATGACATTCTGGTAGTCTCTTTTAGTGATGTTTTATTCTTACACTTCAGATAGGTTTTATCTGTTATGTAAATACAGGCAGATACTGCTTTTTGGTGGTGATGGAGATCAAAGCCTCAAGCGTGGTGAAGTATAGAGCTACACCACCAGCTTAGATATTACATTTTTTACCAACCCAATGTAGTATTAATTTATTTAGATACTTATCAAAGAATGATCAACATGTAAGGTTGACTGCTGTGTAATAAAATTTCAAAATTACTACTTACAAGCAGGAATTCAAATGGTTCTTAATTACATATGCACAAATTTATGTAAATAGCATAAAAAGAATGACAATTCAAATTTGTCATTCCCAGTAACAGATATGAAAGACACATACACCTCTTTTTCTTAAGATCAATTTTAAAAACCAGGATGAGAATCTTGGTTGAAAACTTATCAAATGATTTTAGTGCAAGACTGAAGTGAAGCACAAGAACAAAACAGTAATACCTTGGTTCACAATGCTGCTGTTTGCAAACAAAAGCATTTGGCAAAATTGTGCTTCTGCTCACAAACTGTATTGAGTGAACTGGGTGACAAACATGCCCAGCACCATGTTCCCTACACAAACAGAAATGCAGCTATCTTCCCCAAAATGTAAAACAAAAAAAGATCTCAAACTGAGTATCACTGTGTACTCACTCAGGTATCCCCTTCAACTGCTGGGGCTAGCTCAGACTAGATTAGGAGGAATATTCTCTGGCCAGTGAAGAAACCAATGGGAAAAGGAAGAGTGAAGGGTAAAAGTCAGAATTGTGCTTACAGATTTATGTCTCCTCTTCTTGCTTTTCTTCTTATGCTTTTTTGATTTTTTATAACTTCTCTCTGAGGAACATAAAAGAAAAAACAAAAAACAAAAAAACAAAAACAAGTGTCAATTTGAGAAGTCAAACTGTCAATGATTATAATAAAGTATTAATAGAAATGCTCACCAGACTCAGCACTAGAAGAATGTTCTGAAGCAGAACGAGACTCTGATCGCTGTCTTTTTTTCTTTGAATGGCTGTCATCATCATCTGAATCTGATCCCTAAGTAAAACAAGTAATATAATTCATGATAATGCTAAGAAATGTTTCAGTATATTTATATGGTGCCATCTAAAAAACGTCCTTACCGATCGAGAGCGGGAACGTTTTCTATGATGTTTCTTAGATTTCTTAGAATGTTTCTTATTCTTTGAATGATGATGCTGACACTCATGCTTACAGGGGCAAAAGAAGAAAGAAAATTTCAAGAATTTATATTTGCCTCACAATCAACAAAATGATTTTTTTCTTTGTGGTACTGGAGATTGTACTTAAAAGACTCTCAATGAGCCATATTACCCACTCCCTGCCCTGTCTTTTTTTTTTTTCTTCAATTATGAAAATAAGTTCACCAGGGGCTTGCTATGTAGTTCAGACTGGTCTTGAACTCAATATGTAGCCCAAACTGGCCTGAAACTCACCAGTCCTCCTACCTTAGCCTCTCAAGTGCTAGGATTACAGCTGTGCACTACCATGCCCAGTTATTAGCCTTTATGCACTACCTTCAGCTTCATTTATTACATCATAAGTTTATACAACAAATCATAAAAAAATCCGGTTAGAGATTCTTAAGTTAGAAATAGTTAAGACACTTCCTAGAGCACAGCATATCTCAAAATTCAAGATACATTTTATTGCTTTGGAATCTGGTTAAAATTAAAAACACACTGTGAGATTTCGGATTTTGTACTGAGGTCCTACATTCCTAAAATGCTCCTAGGTAATACAGGTCTGCTGTAATCTACATTTAGAGTGGAAAAGAACAACAAGCTAGAGGATCAGACATAGAGGCAGCTATAAAACATGGGGCCTACTGAGCACAGAGAAAACTGTTAACATTACTATTAATCAAGAACAATAAATCCAAAGAAAGTGAGAAGACATGTAACCTTTAGCCCAATTACTAAGCCTAAACTATAGCATTAAATACATACTATCTTTTTTTTTTTTTTAATATATACTATCTTTTGGCTTGTTCTGAAGTTAACATCTTGGCTAACAACATAGCAAACTTGTTAAAAGCACTGACTCTGGAGTCAGACGGCCTGGGATGCAGGTCCTTCCCTGCAATCACTTTACTTCTCTGGCTGTTTGCTCACCTGTAACTTCATAAGCTTGTTATGAAGATTTATTCATACATGCAATCTTTGTAAAACAATACAAACACTGGCTAGTTCATGTAAATATTAAATATAGTACTGCTAATGAAGCAGTTTGAGATTTTATTTTTCTCATTATGGATATTAACAAAAACTATTCTACTATTTTTCGAAATTTCTGGAATTTTTTTTGTTTGTTTGATTTTCTGAGTCTGAGGCTGGCCTTTAACTATGTAGCCCAAGCCTGCCTCAAACACAATGTCCTCCTGCCTCAGCCTGCCACCAAGTGGGATTTCTATACATGCAGTTTGGTACATCTAAAGCATGCCCAAAAATCTGTTTAGTATTTGTTTAATAAGAAAGTACTAAGTTTCCTTGAAATTGTGAGATGGATAAATTACTTAATTTTTCAAAGTATGAGACAAAAATGAAATTTCTACATATTAGTGTTACTATTCCCCATCCATATCTGTGGCTCTTTGCACTTTGAACAACTTCTACAGAAAGAAAATACTTGCTTAGCCATGCAAGGTAACTACAATTATATAAAATAAAAAAATATTCAGAAATACTTTGATCATTCTGCTTGCATATTTTGTAATATTTCAGTAAGTTATAAAACAAAGTTACCTCAAGGACATGCATAAAATCTTTAAATATTCTTTTTCTTTCTGATTCTAGAGTTATATCCTCAAATGCCGGCTCTTTTACAAATCTCTCTCGAATCTGAAAAATCCAGATTTCAATACATGAATACCAAGAAAAGTACACCAGTATGTCTAAAAGGAATCATACAAGTAGGCGAATACTGATAAATTTATTATCTGAAAGTGGCTCAAAAGTCCAAACTACTTTTAACAAATATCCCTAAAACAGTTACATCTGATTTAATACTTTTAGTACATTATAAACATACCAAATACATTGTACAAATAACTTTAGTTTATTTTTATGGCTTTCAACAGACAAAAATTTTAAAAAAATCATTTTCAACTGTAAAAAACCCATTCATTAGGGAAAACTGGCAAATATACATACATCTTCCCAGACAGCATCCAACTCTATGGGAGGAGCAGCTTGTTTCAACATACTCTTGAATGCAGACTCTTTTCGCTTCATTTTCCGAGCCTCCTCTTTTTCTCTTTCACGTTCGCGGGCTTCTGCCTTTTCCAGTAACTATTAAAAGTTAAAACTTAATCAGTTATAAATTAACTCCTGTTATTGATATAATTCAGTGTTCTCATATCCTTTAAAAAGGGTTTAACATCTACAGTACCAGTTAATATAAGCAAATGATGCTTCACACAGAAGGGAGCTAATTACTTTTTTTTTTTTACATTATCTGAAGTACTGTCTACTATTCTATTCATCCCAGTAACCCTCCACTTAAGCAGCCCTTAGCTGGATAACTGAAAACTGTACTACTTAAATAGTTATTGGTAACAGTTAAAATGATAACTTACACTATTGAAAGCCAACTTGATATTTCCAGCATCTAAGGTAGTTGATCTTTTAGTTGAACTGATAATTGCCACAAAATCTTCAAACGTAGTATTTACTTCAACTACAAATCCTTTATCCTAAAACCCAGAAACTTGTTACATTTAACATACAAATCAAAGCAATAAAGTTACACTATAAGCTTACAGGTAAAAATAAGTATACTTACTTTTAGAATGTCTTTTATTATCTTTTTCTCATCATGATAACGTGCTTTAAGGTCCTCAACATAAAACTTGAAAAGATCAAGTGCAGTTGATCCTAATGAAAAAACTAAAGAAGTCAAAAGCTAGCTCTAACCAAAGAGCTGCAATTACTTTTTTTGTTGTTTATAAACAAAAATAAAATAAAGCACCCTTCCTCTTCCACCACCGCCAACCACCACCTTCCCCTTGGTCCATTCTAATACTAGAGTAAGTTTGGAAAGAAAATAATCTCACCAGGCTGACCAAGCATATTAGTAAATCTAATGTCAGAACTAATGGTTGGATACAATTCCATCCAAGATGACATAGAATGTAGTTGTCCATGTTCATGCAGTTCATCTAAAAATATCTGAGGGAAGGGTAGGAAAGCAATCACATTTGAAAAGTTCTCTTGTTCATAACATGAAGACAAGTTAAAAACTTAGCAACATTTCAAATTCTTATGCCAATGTTATACTGAACATATTTAGATGTATTTCCTCTGATGAAAATAACTCCATTTGGATTACAAAAAAATTTTCACAAAGAATTTTCATCTTTCTAGGTTTCAGTTTCCTTTAAGATAGAACATCATTTCAAGTTTAAAAAAATACATCTCTCAAATCATACACTAAAAGATGAATACATATTATTCCCTTTACATAGTGTCTAGTGTAGTCCAGGTATTTTTATTTATATTTTTAAACAAATAAGTGTTTCTAAAAGAATGTACTATTTCTCCAAAGTAGTTTGGAGAGGTAGGATTAAAATCTGAACCTTATTTCAAAACCATTTCTTTTCTTTCACATTAGTAATACACCAAAGATCTAAATCTTAGTATACTTATTCTATATTCGTCCTTTTTCTCTATTGCTTACTTTCATTTTTTCTCTGTTGCTCACTTTCAAGGCAACTTTTGAGACCTTAGTGCCACCAATTTCTATCGTTCTTGCTTCCCCAATCAATAGCAATCTATGATCCTAAATTCCACCGCCACAATTCCTGAACACCATCATTGTTCAATGGAAGCTACTGTTTAAACACAGTGTCGGAGGACATAAATTATGGCTAGTGTAAATTATGCTGTGCTTTACAATATAGTGATTTTTAATATTTAGTACCAAAAGAAAAAAAACGAATTTTAAAAATGCTGGTATGGTAAAATGGTAGTATTTTAGACATAAGGGATTAAATGGATTAGAAAAATTAATTAAAAACCTGTTGAATTAAAATTTCACACACAGTACAAATATCTGTATTGGACAAAGCTGCCTTAATAAGCAAATACTACTCAACTTTCCTTCACACAAACATATGTATATCCATAATATTACCACTTTGAAAGTTTTTCAAACTCCAATCTCTCCTTGATCACTACCCTTTAACAAAAACAGAAACCTGCCTTCACCCACTTTAACTGGCCACCTACTTCCTTTACCTGCCTGCTTCCTCCAAAGTTATTCCAGAGGATATTAAAATTTACCCTATTCTATTACATGTGCTTTGCTAGGCTTGTGAGGCTTTGCTTCAGTTCCACATTGTTGAGATCTACTAAAATCATGTAACTGACACTAAATCCATTTCAACAGTGGATTGCTTAACCTGAGAATCAGAATCACCTGAAGATTTTTTCCCCTTAAACGATATGGGTTGAAACTCAAGATGTTTATACTTTCACTTTTTAAAAATCATTGGATAACTAACATGATTTCAAGTTTGAGAAAGATAAAATTTTAAGGTTCGTATTCTTTTTCATTAATTTCATTTTTGTTAAGAAAAGAGTAGTTTTCTACATTACAGACAGCAAGTAATTTCAAAGATGGCTGAGCCTGGTCCTCTTTTTCTTAGAGGAAGAGTTCTCGTGGCACTACTGACATCTTAGGTGATCTAACTTTGTTTTTTCTTTTATTTTGGGGGGAGGAGAGGAGGCTGATGACGGTGTGTTCATCATCTCTGATCTATATACTATATAATAGGAGCAACTTTCCATCAACAGCAACACCAAAATTTTTCCTGAGAATTTGCCTTAAATCCAACAATAATGACTTTTCTTCTTCCCCTTTCCTTCTTTTTGTCATTCTTTCCTCATGTTTTAACTATTTACATATGTACTCAACCCTTCAAATATTTTGATTAATTGGAGATGCTTCCATCTTTTAATTGTTAATACATGGATTCATAGGCTCCAGTTCCAAAATCTGATTTTGTAATTCTGGCGTGAGATCTGAGAATTTACATTCTGATAACTTCCCAGCGATATGGGTTGCATCTAACTAGGTGTACCTGGTGACAATGCTTTGAAAGCTACTGCTCTATTTTAGTTTTGTCTTTTTCTTTTTTATCAGTACCAGTGATCGAACTCATGACCGCCTGCTTGCAAGGTAGGCTCTTATGCCACTAAGCTAAATCCCCAGCCCCCTTCTGCTCTATTTTAAAACTTCACTTTGACTTCTAAAAAACACACATTTTCCTGGTTCTCATTAAATCTTCCCATCAATCCTTTCCACACTTGACATAATTCAAATAGTAGTTTTAAGACTAAACACAATCCACTAGAGTTTGTTATGAATGTGACAAATACTTATTATTACTTGATTGACCAGTAAGTATTCAGTGAAAAGAAAGCAATCGTAATTATTATAGAACAGTTTTTCCATTCACAACCACTTCTTGGAAATACCAGTTTTGCTTTGTTTTACTGAAATTCTAAATATACTTCATAGTCTCTCACAATACCTTGTAATTCATAGCTATTTGATAGCAACCTCAGTCTCATGTTTTCTGTTTACCTAGAATTATGTTTGCTTGTTTTTGGTACCAGGGATTGAACTCATGTCCTCATACTTGCCAGCCAGGTGCTCACACTGCTGAGCTAAATCCCTGGCCTGATTTTCTTAATTTTTAAAAGTTTTATTTATTGTCTTACACTTACATACTCATATTAAACCACCACAAACATAAAACTTTTAGTTTAACAGCTATACAAAAATGTAAGTAACCAGGCTAAAAGTTATTTTTTTATTACCTGAAAAGATTCCCTATTTTTACGCTGCCGTCTCCTTTCTCTCAGCAAACTTTTCTGTTTTTCTTCTTCTTCTTCCTTTTCTAAAGCCCGAATATGTTCTTCAAAGCAAATTAATGCATCTTCTTTGTCCATGTCTGAAATATTTTTCAGATAAAAACGACAATTTTAATTATCAGAAAGCAGTTTATTTGCATTCATTCTCCATAAATTTCAAATTTACCTTTCAAAAATACCTGTACTTAAACTCAAAATATGACTTCTTAAACAGGAAGTTCTAAGGAAAAATTCACAAAGAACTCATTTAAATTATGATGAAACAAAGAGTATGGATACAAAAAAAAATAAAAGTTGAAATATTATAACTCTCCATGACAGTTTTCAGAGCAGTCATGGAGTAAGCTCTAAGGAAAGCATCATGAGGTAATTTCATCACTGATGCTTTTTTCTTTTCATAACTCTTGACATTGGGCTCAGGGTCTAGCTCAGTGGTAGAGTGCTTACATAGCATGCATGAAGTCCTGGGTTCAATTCCCAGCATCTCATATACAGAAGTTACTGCCTCAAGAAAACAGAAGTGAAATGTGATAATATATAATACATGGCTAAACACACTTTTAAGTTTGACTTACTCATTTCAGCAATTAATTTCTAAAAAAAATTTGAACTAAACCTTAAAACTCATTTAGAAAGAGATATCCCAAATGAAAATTAGTAAGTCATTTTTTTGTGTTTTTTGAGACACGGTCTCAGATTGGTCTTGAACTCGCTACATAGTCCACGGTAGCCTTTAATTCACGGTGCTCCTCCTCCCTCAATCTCCCAAGTACTGAGATTACAGGCTGCAGGACACTGTTTAAAAACATTTCTTCTTATTTAGTTATTATCTTACTCTGTAACTCCTCGTCTTCTGCAAAAGTTGGATTATCCATCAGATACTGCTGAGCCTCAGACCAAGTAGTAGAGTATGTTACATTAGCCATATTATCAAGTATGTTTTTTAAGGCTTCCCAGTTTCTCTTTCGCAACTGCTTTGCTTGTTCCTACAACAAAAATATGAATAAATCTTTGAAATTCAAAGAAACTAAGATATTTCACTTGTAAGTAGTGAAGTATTCTTTACATTCTGGGAAACCAAGTTCAAATATTATGCATCTGTTTTAAGTATCTGTGCATTTATTTTGCCCATGTTCTTGCATAATGTTTAGTGTGTCAATTTTTTTACCTCTCCAAAGGCAATGTCTAGAAACTTGAAGTTTTTTTTTTCTCCCCACCCTACAAACCTCTCTTATCATCACCAACTAACTGTGCACAAGCCATCCAATGGGTAAGTGCTGATCTTCAGGACTATGTACATATTGTGGAACACTTGCATTTATGTAATTTCCTTCAAAACTGAACCAAACAAAATTGAGGAACACACAATGAAAAATAAAGGCATAAGTAAATGTTTTAGAACCCTATTCAAGTTTAGTTCAGTGTGAATAATAGCACTTTACTGCTATTCTTGAAGCACAATGATCACATAATAAATACTATGTTAAAAACTAACATGCTGAAACAGTTATCTTCTTTTCCAAAGCAGCTATAAAGCAGCCCATTAATGACAATTAACACTTAGTGTGACTACCTTATTACTTGTGTTAGGTGAAAAGGAATGAAATTTATTATTATAGAAGTTATCCAGTCTGTTTAAGATTAATCTCTAATAAACAGATCTCTTGCAGTAGATGAAATAAGGAACAAAAGTGGACAGGATATAAAATAACTCTCACCATTTTCTTACAAAATGTCTTCCCATAAAGATCATTAACTAAGAATAACTTATACCTTTTCTTTTTTTGACAGAAAGAATAAAACATCTTCATAGATTTCAAGACGATCACGCTCAGAAATTGCATTCCAGACTTCCATCTCTCCAAACATTTGCTCTGCTTTTCTAGTCATTTAAAAATAAATGTTAGTTTTCATTTACTATAGAAAATTACATCAATCTAATATTAAACTAAATTTAAAACTACTAAAATGAGCAATCTTTTCACTTAGGTTCATAACTGCATTCATTATAAAACAAAACTTCTGGATAGTAAAGAAAAATAACAAAGTTCCTTTTCTCCATAGAGACAGAGGATAATTCCACTTAGCAATGGGCTTTGTATTCTAAATTTATCTCTGTTTCGTAAAACAGCTAGAGACCACCCAGTCTGCCACAGAATTATAGATTTTACAAGCTATCAGAAATATAGTTAACACATAAAATATGACTATGTGAAAAATTAAGTCTTTTGCTAAGGTTTTTTTAGAAGAATGAAGAAAATAAGCACACTGGGGAAAAAACCTTAATAACTTATAGAATTTTAAATATTGAATTACCCCAATCTTAAATAATAAAACAACCTAAACTTAATACAGTACATGTACAAACATTTTATAATAAAACACACATTGCCAATAATCCTATACAAAAAACCCACCCCTTCAAACATACCTATCTCAACATGTCTGCCATATTCTGAGGCAGTTCTGTAAATCTTTCTTAAGGGTGTCTTTACCAGGTGTGATAAAAAAATACAATGACTGCTGCTAGTGATTGCCACACACAGAAAGGCAGACTTGTAAAAAAGGTTACAGCATGTTCTCATCCACGACACTGTGTAACACTGTGTGACTTCGGACTCTTTCCTAAAGTCAAAATGGTCATGAAAGTCAAATCAATTCAGGACACTGAGGCAGTCATGACCCTGCAGCTTTTAAGACTTATAGGACAGGACATTCAACTGTGGCAAGAATGATGGAATAACAGTGCTCAAAACATGGGAGAATATTTTGTGGGTATAATGGCAATGTGTCTTGTATTTTAATATTTTAAAAAATTTAAACATTAACCATATTGTACAATACCTTGCAAATGCAAAATTTCAAAATACTACGTTTAATGAAAATAGCTTTTTTCCTATCTCACAAATACAAGACTTTCAGTCCTCTTATGAAATGGAATGGGGTGAGCTTGACTCAGTCTTTTTCCCAGTTTTCCTCTAGTTTCTAATTAGTAACTCAAGTCTTCCTTAAATTTCACACAATTGCTGATCCATCTTGTACTTTTAAAAAAGTGCTACATTCACTGTAGAAAGCTGCCACACTTATAATCATCTACCTACATTTAACACATCCACTGTAGATTACTTAGGTACACCTGGCAAAAAATATAACACAAACAACAGAGTAATCCCATTCCATGCACGATTTAAAATCTTACTTATATCTGGTTGTAGAAGTCATTTTCTCATGATTTTCAAGAAAACGCTGAAAAGATTCCTTAGCTTCTTTATATTTTGATCTTGCTTCTTCTTTTTCCTCCTTCTCTGTCTGGACTTTATAGGCATTAAAGGCCTGCTTTTTCTCACTTAATTTTGCTAAAGCACTAAATAACAGAAAAGTACCAATAGCATACATAAGTAAACAAAGCCAGAAGAAAATGTTCCTGTATTGAAAAACAGTAGTTATTTTCATGAATACATTAAGAAACTTTCTATAATATATTATAGACAATGAATGGTTCTAAAAAGTAGTTTTTAGTTTTCAAGTAATTCTAATTTCATTAGTAGCAAAGTGATCAAATTGTGTGACAAGTCCTTTGGATTCTTCTGATTTATAACATATCTAAAATAATGGAAGTGAATGGGATTAATGTAATTCTACCATTCTAACAAAATTTTAAATGTGCTAGGCTTTATATGTTTCAAGTGGAAAGTGTATAAAAAGTGTATGAAATGTAGTATTACCTGTATCGTGGATCATTAATGATCATTTTCATAGCTTGCTCCCAAGAAGCATTGGATGGTACCCGCTGAAAACCATTTAAGCAAAACTTTAAAATTTTACAAGTATGGAAAAAATCCTCTAACAAAGAATCAAGTATAATACTCACTGCAAACATCAAGCAATTCCCTTAGCAGAAGTTTTGAAAATTTCTAAAAGAATTTTTTATTGAAGGCAACTCTGTAATATAGCTACTGACTGAAAAACTGAAATTTAAACAGAACACATTTTCTTTAGACCAATGATTAAAATGGTAACAACGATTTTAAATAAAAAGTCTTGTATTAAATAACAAAGAAATGTGCTTCCATCGTACCATGCTGAAGTTTCAGCAAAAAAACGAGACAAATAATAGCTAATGAGTTTAGGATTATCAAATAAAGGCATCAAAATGATGAAAAGTGAACTTTGTTTATTGGGTAAGTATTGAATGTCGCAAAAAAATCTGCTAAGCAAATACCTTTTCTTTTAATAATTCTTTGAATGCCTGTTTTGCTTCTTCCTTTGTATTCCAAGTGTATGTTTTTTTTGCTGGTTGGCTCTCTTCCTCTTCTTTTTTGGGAGTAAAACTAGGGAGAAATTTAAACACGTAATCCGTAACTTAAACATCAACTTCATTTAGAAAACTTCTCGAAATATTATTTAACTATTTGACAAATTTAAAATGAAGTCTCCAATATAAACCATGAAAACATACTTATCTGAAGAAAAAGAAATTAAAGATAATTGTTTTTCTGCAACTTCAGTCATTAAGACTGCACAAATATGAAAATAAAACATTTAATTGCACTAAAACACTAGCTATGGTAGCCCACAGATTAATTCTAAATGGCTCACTATTCAGTGCTTTTATATTAATACTTTAATAACTGATATTTGAGTAAGTACATAAATCCTGACAAAAGATGTAGAGCTCCAGATAAATCAGTCAGTAAACTATAACCCATTAGCCACATCTAGCCCAGTGAGTTTTTATAAAATTACAGTCTCACTGGAATATAGATATGCACATTTGTTTATGGCTTGATTTTGCTATATCACAGCACAACCAGTCACTGTAATAAAGTATAACACAAAACCAATAATATCTGGTATTTTTGGAAAAAGTTTGGTAAGCAATGACCTCAAAACAACCCAACACAAATAAAAACAAAAAATGTCAACTGTGAACTCATAGACCTTCATTAAAATACTATATCAATTTAGTCTGGCTAAGAGTCATGTGACTTTTTCAATGTTCTGCTGTTTGCTTTTGAGATAGGATCTTGATACATAGTTCAGGCAGGCTTTGAACTCACTATGCAACCCAGGATGACATCTAAATTTCAGTAATTCTCGTCCTGCTTCAGCTTATCAATACTGAGATTACAGGCAGGCACCACCATGCCCAGCTATGGTGTTACGGTGTCTGAGTTTTCCTTTAATGGTAGAAAAATAATCATAATGTTAAAACTGTGGTTTCTACATTATTATGGCTGAGTGCCTTGATATATGCTTTCTGCATAACTGGACATACTTCTTTGTCTATAAACTGTCTTCTCTTATCTGTGATGCATTTTTCAAGAAAACTGTCTTTTAAAAATTATTTTGCAGAGAGTAGAAAACCAATAACTAAGGAAAAAACATAATAACTCACTACTACTATACTCAATACACTATATCTACCTTCTATTGTAGTTGATTCAATATCAAACTATAGTACCACTTCCTCACAGTGCTGTGGTGAGTCATATAAAGATTAAAACAACAACAAAAAAATCCAAACAATTCTCATCCTTTATTTAAAATGTAAGTACTTTGTTAACCCTGATTTTGCATTGCTCTTGCATGCAAATATAGCATTCAAAGGACACGGCTTGGCATTCTTTTAAATTTGTAACTAAATTTATCTTTGGCTCTATGTCCTAAAACTTTTGTGAATTAATTTTATAACAGTTTTGCGCCAAGACATGCCACCATGAACATTTTTCTAAAAGTTTAAATTCTAATTCTCAAAACATTTTTTACTTAAATACATTTAATAGTCACTGACTCAACTGGAATTTCTTATTCACTAAATTTGATAGTGAATTTCAGAACACAAGTTACTATACTTACTCAGCTACAGTTTCCTGTTTAGATGTTTCTTCTGCACTGCTAGTTACTTCAACACTTAGATCCTGAATAGCAGTGGCATTTGTAAGCTGTGCCTGTTCTTCAGTGGATATAGTTACTGTATTTTCATTATCTACAACAGTAGCAACAATGGAAGTAACTTCAGGCTCAGGAACAACTGGAACAGTTCCAACAGTATTAGTAGTAGAAGTGGAAGTGCTAGCATTGGCTGCAGCTGCAGCTGCTGCGGCTGCAGCTGCTGCAGCAACAACAGCAGCTGCTGCTTCTGCGGCAGCCATGGTCGTCATAGTAGTAGGAATTTCTGTTGTAGGAACTGGGGCTGTTGATGTGCTGCAATCTTCTTGTTTGCTATCCATTAAAAAAAAAAAAGAAAGAAAACAGGTCATTCTCATTATTGTAATTACAAAGCTAAACCAATCCACTTTTTAAATTAATGTAATATTAAATGATCAAAATTGAAGGGAAAAAATTTTCAGTGATAGTAAGTTATTTTAAAAGATTAAAATCAAAGAATGAAGCAGTATTTCCTTTTCTTTCTTCAAGTCTCCAACTCAAGAACTAAAGTGATTCTTCCACCTCAGCTTACAGAGTATAGTACTGACTACAAGTATATGCCATCATACTAGCACTGTTTTAATGAGCCAAACTTTCATCATTATGTGTAACAGGCACTCATGCAAGAGTTTGCATTTCCTAAAGTTCCACAATTATTTTACAAAATGCCTATTAGATTGTGTCATGCTCTGAAATTTGACAAATATCAGTAAAAGCTTAAAATTTTCTGCACTTAAGTACAAGGAAACGTACAAAGGAAGCCCTATCTAGGTGCATTTCATTTATTCCCAAATAACTAAAAACAAATTGTGGACATTTCAACAGTTATTTGAACAGATGTAGTCCAAATTAAAGCACTACATCTCTAACAGAGCCTAAGTTTACATAAAAATCTTTCTTTCTTACCTCTCCCCTGCAAAAACCTCCAACAACATACAGCTACCAGACCTAACATTATGTAATATTTATATTGTAAGGAAGGCTAACACCACCCAAGCAAGTAGATGATAGGAGAGACCATACTTATAAATTCAAACTGATTTACAAAATTGCTTACCTGCTTTCTTCAGCTTTGATCATGGCTATTAAAGAGAAAAAAGAAAATTCATCTACTATTTAGTTTTAAAATATAATCACCAAAAACAAACTTTAGTAGGAAAGTACCATATAATAGGATTTAATTTATCATCTGAAAAAAATTTTAAACATCAATTTTACAGAGCAAAATTGTCCATTTCAAAGCAGTTATTAAATAATGAAAACAAATTTCAAAAAGAAAAGTTAAGAAAGCCTCTTTACTAAAAGCTTATTTTCAACAAGGTTTCAAGCCTTGCAAAAATTCCCTTAAAAGGTGTATTTCAATAGAATAGTATTTTCCTGAGGAATGAGACTTAAAAAGCTTTTAAAGATACTAAATTCTAAATGGGATCCAAGTTACAAAATTTGAGCACATTTTTTAATACTAGCATTGACAAGTAGATAGATAGCTATGTACATCAAGTATTTATATAGCAGGGTTATATCAGAAATGAGCTTGATATTCTGTAAATAAACTGGAAATCTACCTATCTACAATATTATTATTAGCCAATGCTAGTATAAATAATTTAAATTTAGCTTTAAAAATATGCAGTTTGTTTTCTATTTTAAGTAAAAGTATCTTTTTTCAGCATCACTAGGGAATGAGGCGCTCCCTGAAGTTGATGATTAAAAACTTAATTCTTTATGAAAATGTCTGAAAAACTATACACTTTAAATGGAAAACAGTTCTGAAAATCTCTCATCATCACTAAATAAAAACTAACGTTCTCTGATACAATGATCTGAACTACTGAAGTGCACAAGGAAAAGATAAATGTATTTCTCATACCTCTAAAAATTTTTATTCTTTCTAGATATCATACTACATTATCATAGACTTTGCTATGATCTGTTGCTTTTAATCTGGTACTATTTATAATACCAGGTTATATAATACAAGTGAAAGCAAAGTAGCTAAATTTTCATTTCTTATAATCTTGCTTATTTTAACTCCTGGGTTTTTTATTAAGTAATATATTTTTCTTAGATTTCATGGGTATTCTGAGTAATTAGGGATGTTGAACAAAACATTCCTTTTAAGTGAGGTGTGGTGTTTTATCTTAATTAATTCATAACAAATATATAAAGGTTATTTTGCAATGGCATGCTAAAACAAAATCAGCATTAAAGGCAAGCTGATAATATACTAACAAAATTCAAACTGACGAATATGCAAGGTGTTCCACTATGTACTACTCATTACCAACTGGTTAAATTACATATTTCATATATATATATACACACACACACCCCCAACACTCACAGCAGGATTCAGAAATTTTGTATGTGAAGTCCAATAGTAATGGTTTTCTTAAAACATCAAAGTACAACTTTAAAAGCTACAAGCTCATTTATAATATAACCCTCAAATGAAAGAATTGCTTTGAATTAGATTTTTTCACTGCAGATTTATCCTATTATGGTTAGTGAATATAGTGACATACTCTAAAAATGTTAAAGATGACAGAAAATGAATTATCAAAGCAGCTCACCATGCAGGTTTGATTTTGTAATAAGACCTCCAGCAACAATGGTATTCTGGTATCCTAGTTTCAGTGGAATCAAATCAAATAAAAATCTATTTAAAATCTATAGAACTGAGATCTATAGCAACAAGAACATAAGAGCCCATAAAACTGTAACATCATTTAAAATGCACTAATTATTTAATTAAAAAATAAGGCCTTTGAACAATCCTATTGAGGAAGGATTATTTCAAAGCAAATGATACACATATATAGCAACTTTTCATTAAAAAATTAAACTGTTCCCACTTTACCTTCAAGATCCTCAAGTTCTTTAGGTTTGGCCCAGCGGGATTCTTTTGTTTGAGAATTGTAATAGTAAGGCTTTCCAGAATCTGATTTATATTCCTTCCAAGGGCATTTTGATAACAGTTGCTAGAGGAAAAAACTTTTGGTTAATAGTAAATATTCATCACCACTGATGATGATTACTTGGAGAAAATAATTTGCCCAAGTATACCTGAGTTAAGGCACCCTACCATATATAAAAATTACCATTCATATTTAACAAAAGCATCTCAAATACTAATATAAGTAGGAAAAGCATGAAATTTGGAGAAAAGCAAAATCTAATTTAGTCATGTTAAGGTTTTAATTTAATATTTTCCTATAAACCTATGTGAACTACTTTATATAAGTAAACAATGTACATACAATTTAACTGAAACCTAATATATAAAACTTAAAAGACTACTATAATAAAATAACAGAAATCCTGAGTGTTTTGGAAAATATATATAATTGATAACCATCACTGACAATAAATCAGTAATGCGTTAAAGTAAAAAAACTTTACAATTCTCCCCTCCCAAACACTGCTGTGCAATGTATTAAGGTGGTAGCCTGCAAAAAAAAAAAAAAAAAAAATACTTTTTATGTTTCTAAGTTTTTTAAGAGAGAAGAAAACAACAACAAAAAAATAGTATCAGCTAGGAAAAAACTTAAGCATAGCCTGGCGTGCCAGACCAATTTAGTCATTCAGCTTATTTCCTTCCATCAACTTTTACTATTATTTACTTACTTAAATTTATTTTAACAGAAAAAAGAAATAACAGTAAAAGTTTCAAAACAGGTTAGTAGGAAAGTAGCAATAATCAACACATTATGTACTTTTATAGCTGTTATAACTGTTATAGTTCTGAGTACAAGAGATACAGGCATGAAACATTGCTCAGAAGATTAAAAGCACAAAACATTTTCCTCTATGAACCAAAAAATCCCAGCTATATACCTATCTTAACTGTCTTGTGTTTACATACATTTGTTCCTTTTCCCTTTCTCCCATCAGTTTTTCTTTACTTTTGAACAGTTTCTTTTCTACTCACAATATCTACTGTACAGTTTGGATCTTGTCTACTGTTTCAGATTCTCATACTAGTGAGACAATACGATGTTTACACATGTGGGTCTGGTTTACTTCACTTATGACAAAGGACTTACATCTAGAACACAGAAAGCATTGAAAAAAAATCAGGCCTCCAAAATTCAAAGACTCAAAAATGGGCATCTGAGATACATGCTTCTCAGATGAGGAAATACGAATGGCAAATAAATACATGAAAAGATGCTCAATATCATGTTCTTTGAGAGATGAGAGTGACTATCATCAAGAAAACAACAAATGCTGGCAGGGCTAAAGGGAAGAAGGAATTCTTTTTCACTGTTGGGAGTGTAGGCTGGTGCAACCACTGTGGAATTCCGTGTGGAGAGTTCTGAAAAAGCTAGGATTATACTGCACTGACCCAACTATTCCCCTTCTGGGTATATTCCTACAATTAAAAACATCCTAACAGTGATATACATGCACCTATGTTTATAACAGCACAATTTATAATAGCTAAATCTTGGAAACAATCCAAATACCCATCAACCAAACCATCAGCCCATCAGACAACCGGAATGGCTAAAAAAGACATGGTTTTTTAATATAATGGGCTACTACCCAGTGATAAAAAAAGATAAAATTTGACATTTTTATAGGTAAATGGATACTGCTGTTATTTATGTATTTTGAAATATAATATTTCAAAAAATATGAATACTTATTTTCTCAAAACAAATACTGTTTCAGTGGCATTTTCAGCAAAGAGAAAATTTACTACTCTAAATAGGTAATTTAACTTCATCTTCATTATCTAATTTTTTTGGAAAGTTTTAATGAAACGATAACCATTTAGTATCACCCAGGGTTCATTATAAAGAGGAAAAGAGTTTGAAATATGAAGCAAAAAGTAAAAAGAAAGCAAAGAAAGCCTGCTTCTCATCCCTTCCAATTAATTTTTTGTATCACCTTTCTGAGGAGCAAATTCACTATATAAAATTAGTCTACAGAAGAAAATGCTTCCTATTATTGTTGATTAGTGTGACTGCATTACCCTCTGAGTTTCTTTACAGATTCTCTAACATTTAAGCTGTAATGCTCTTTGGATAATCAAATACAAAATTCTAACATGTGACAGTATACTCAATAGTACTCAATTTTAAGTCCTTAACGTTTTACCTCAGCAGGTGTTTTAAGATCATCTGGTTTCTCCCAGGTGGACTGTTTTGTTTCCGTATTATAGTAGTAAGTCCTTCCATCAGGTGATTTATGTTCAGTCCACATTGATTTCTGAAGAAAAATACCAAATATATAAATTATGTGAAATGCCGTCAACACCGAATATCAATATCATTAGTGTTAAGACAATAAATGTATTTAATATAAACCAAAGTATAAATTGGGTACAGATTGAGAATATTCAGAATAATTTGTCAATAGAAACAAGGAGGGAACTAAAAACAATAAAGAACTTCAAAAGTAGTGTGAATCAATCACAATTTTAGGGCATCTATCAGAATGAGACATGAGTATTCTTTCAAGGACAGCAAATTTTGTATGAGACAATTCTCCAGCAACACAAATCTAGAGGGTAAAGAATACAGTATATAAACTAGATGCAAACAAGTTAACTAACAATGCATTTATCTACTCTCACCAAAATAACACTATATGCATGTGGATACAGTACTAAATTGGCATCCCATAAAGGCATACCTTGCAAAACTATAAAAAAAGGCTTGTAGATGATAATCAGAATTTAAACTACCAACAAGATGACATTTAACAGGGATTAAAATGTAACCCAAATGCCTCAAAACTAGAGATGTGAGAAAGTTTTATACACAACCAACCAGTGTGATACATAATATAAATCTTAAACAAGATTCCAAAAGAACTACCAAAATTTTTTCAAATGAAACGAGACATCTACTGATAATGATGATGCAAATTAACTGTTACTGAAAAAACTTTAACAAGTTATCATGAGTGAATGAATTACTAGATTTCAAAAGTAGTGGATTCCATTTTTGGACACCAGATTTATTAGATGTTAACATCTATGACTGAAGGTGATCCATAGGATATTTCTTTAAATCTAAGAAATACACATTTCGAAGAAGAAAAATTCAATCATTGCCATTCTCACATGCTCTTCTACCACTTAGCTTTTACTTTATAAATTTAAGAGATTTCATCTTACAACTTGATTTCTCTGAAGTATTATTTCTGTGCACACGAGTAAAAATACATAAAAGAAAACAACCTCCTTGAACTTCTTTACAATGAGACTATATTTTTTGGTCAGTGACTAATGCTTATTCCATTTCAATACCATCATCTGTTTTCTCAAAAATGTTGGTAACATGCTATTTTTTCCTTTCTTTTGTATTTGTTTAGTGCTGACTTACTTTTTCTTTCTTCCTTATTAACTTTACTGAGTAAGAGATGATCTACTTTTGATTCCTTCTTTAGCAATGTGACTAAACGCATGTAATTTATTGTTTTTCTCACTTTATCATAATCATTTTACTCTTTGGGTGTTGTGCTATTATTTTCTTGGTTTTCTTATAAAGCACTGACATTCTATTAATGTTAGCATTTTGCTGTACACTTGTGCACAACTAAGCCACAACTGCTACAGAAATGATGAAACTCATAAGATATAGATACAATATTCATCCCAATTTCAGATTTTGAAAGATGAAATACACTAATTGACAATCAGTTAGTTTAAGAAACAAGTACAAATGGAGAAAAAAGAAATGATGACTTTATCAGTGTAGTTATATCTATTATATAAATGAAGTAAGATTTTTATTTTCTGTAAAGTGTAACAGGGTAACTACTATTAAAGGAATTACCCACAATCACTAGAATTCAAAGGACTTCATAAAATTTAAGCCATTTGTGTTAATAAAGTGACTGGCCCTTTCCATAGTGATTTGGTTAAGTCACTCGGCTTTCCTACAGAATGAAATATTGCATGCTGTAGGTTAGATACATTGCATTGCATAAGAAATCATAATAATTGCAATATTAAACAGGTGCTGAGAAACATTTTGCCGTTACTTCCATTCAACATCTTTTCATCAAAAGGCTATGAAATTAGACATGTATATATGGAAACAATGTCTGTCTGTATGAGTAACACTTTAGTTCATAAGTAAATGTTAAAATAAAGGAGTTAACTTTTAATGTTCTCAGTAGCATCTGAAAGTTATACTATCTTACTTGTACTACTGTCTACCATGAGTTACACAACTATATCTAAACTTTTCAAATCACCTCTACTAAAGGGCATCAACAAAAGAGAAGTTCACCAGAATTTATGAGACAATGTAATGAAAAAGAAAGGGATAGCACATAAATCATCAAAGAACAAGGAGAGGAATGGTATACAAGCTAATTAAGCAAAATCCAGTTGGACTCAGTATCTAGTACTCTACTGCAGACTCAGAACCATACTAGAGAAAAGCAAATAGGTATAACCCCTCCCCTATCTCCATTCTATAGATAAGAAAAATTGAGATTTAGGAGGGTTAATAATTTGCCCACAGTCCTGTTCACCTTTAAAGACTAGATTTTACCCATTCTAAACGCTGTGCATTAGTAGAGGCTAAGTTACTTCAATACAAACAAGTTATACAAGGTTGATTGAACACATGACCAGGCGCTTGTGCTGCTAAGCTAAACCCTTGGCTCTATAAGGTCTTAAATAATATGCAAAATACTTAAAAGTTGATGCTGGGAGTGATAATAATTTATCTTGGCAAATGTTTTACTAGTGGTAACTTTTTTTTTTTAAAAAAAGGCCTTAATATGCAACCTAGATGTAATAATTTGACTTCTTTCTGTCTGAAATTAATAGCTTTTGAAAGAATTTAAATCCAAATTATGTAAATAATTGAGCAGAAGATAAAAGAATCACCTAAAATAGTAGATATATCAAACAGCCTAACAACTGGAAAGCTACCTTCATAGCATAAAATATGATACATAAGTAGTTGTCAAGCAACATTACTTATAGTATAGTCTACAAGATAAAATGAAAATAAATTGAGTGCTGAGTATTAGAGAGAAACTTTACAAATGTACTACTTTTTTAAACACAAGATCTCTAGGAAGCAATAATTAACTTCCTATGAAAGACTTATGACTATTATAACAGAATCAGGAAAAACCCAAAAATGGCTGAATGAGCCAACGTCAGGAAAATATATAGTATAAGCCTTTCTGGTCAATAGGAATTAAGATATTCTTCCCTGAAACTTTTTGTATTAGTCTGCACTTATGCCACAGATGACATCCCCAACTTATTGTATTAAATTAGAAAATGGGAAGTTCTAGAAAATCAGTCATCATCAGTTAACATTTTTTATACAGGAAAAATAAGGAATATAACTGAGGACTATGAGAAACACAATGTTAAAAGAGGATTTATCTTACTGTTGGGAAATCCCATTAATATTGTTACAGACACAAGTAAAGTTTTCTCTAAGATTTCTTCAAGGGTGAAAAAGTGGACAACTTGGTATCTACCTATAGGAAAAAGGCTAATGTGAACCATTCATGTTACCAATATATACTAGTGGTGTATACCTCTAATCCCAGGACCTGAGGAAGCCAAGGAAGGAGGATAACAAGCTTGAGCCCAACCTGGGCAACTTAGTGAGTCTTTGTCTCAGAAATTTTATAAAGGGCTAAACTCTGTGCATATAAGAGACAAGTATTTCTATATGTTCACATAATTATACAACATATAAGATAAATTAAACAAGAGAAAAGTGGCATGAATTTAAAAAAGAAAAGCTCTCACAAGTTTTTTCACAGATAGATGAAATCCTAAGTTTGTAACTGATTCATGGGTCAATTCTAGGATTTAGGGTAGATGATTGCTGGATCAGTCTATTAACTGGTCCAGTAATACCCCAATCCTGGTAGAGTGGACACAGTATAAAGGGACAGAAAAAAAAGCTTCTTCCTCTTCTCTCATTGCATTTGCTGTCTTCCATAGCTCTGAATGTTGTGCTCTGACATGTTCCACCTAGCCTTGGAGTTAGCCGATTATAGTTATAGTCTGAAACTTCTATGAACTTCAATGGTTATGGCTTGAAACCTCTATAAACTGTGAGCGTGGGGGTCAGTTATTTTGTCTCAGCAATAAGAGTAAAGTAACTGAGATACCACATTAAATAAGACAGCTAAATAATATTAGACTTGAAGAATATAATCATAGCATTGAATAGATTTTCAGTTAATTTAAAAATGTAGGAAAATGATTTCTTAGCTGTACAAAACAGCTTCTGTCCCAACTAAGCAGAATTTAAAGTTAAAACCATAATAGAAAAAGAGGAACACTGTATAGTGTAAAACTTAACAGAACAAAAACTTACTACTATGAACATACATAGCAATTTTATGCTGAAATATACAAAACAAAAGCACAAGGAAAAAAGGATGATTTATTTATGTTTTCTAGCTAAAGTTTTGAATACCTATCTTAAGTAGATCAAACAAATGAAACATAAAGTCAGTTACTAGAGTACCAAATAAATTAAACTGCAGACAAAAATTTCTAAAAATGACACTTGAATAAAAATATAAATGAAACTTTAAGAAATTCCAAAGAATCTTTTAGACTTTTGCTTTCTGATCATAATGCAAATGTCTAACTTATTGTAAAAAATTACCTCAGAAAAGCACAGTTCATGAAATAAATTGATAGGCTGAAATATTTGATTTTCATGCAAATTTAAAATTTCTGCTCTGTAAGACACTGGAAAGAATGAGAAGACAAGGTATAGAGTAAGAGAAAATATATATAAAAGACATTTAGTAAAAAGTGTTACCTGTAATACATAATGAACTCTAAAGAAAACAATTTGATTAAAAAACATTTCACCGAAGACACATATAGACATATACATATGAAAGATGCCTCACATCACACTTTATTAAGAAACCGTAATTTAATGAAAAGATATCACTGTTAAACTGCAAAATCTCAAAACACTAATAAAATCAAATACTGGTAAGTATGCAAAACAAAAGAAATTCTCATTCATTGCTCACGGATCTTCAGAATGGTATATATAGCCTCTTTAGAAGACAGAGTCTTGTGTGAAGAGTTTTACTAAATTAAGCATTATTTTATTACACTATCCAGGAAATGAGTATCATGACATTTTCCCAAACAATCTGAAAAGTATATGGTCACACAACATCCTGCACATAGATCTTTACAGTGGCGTTATTCCTAAGTGTCAGAGCTTGGAAACAACCTAATA